GACTCAGACTGTAACGTTCTTTTTTCTTTGCACTACAAGGTACATGTACCATAGTGCTCCAGTATCTCCACTTGCAACTTTCAACCAGGTTTTCTCAAAGTTAGTTTAATTTAGCGCCCGCCTGAAATGATATGGTATCTGGGGTGGAGGTTTTGACGGGTATTGAAGGATTTTCAATCCATCTAACAGCATGGCAGTCAAATAAGTCAACGCGTGAGATCTAGGGCTCTCTTGCCTGCCCAGCTTTATTTTTCCAAGACTGTCAGCCGGTTCTCAGTCTGCTGACTAATCATGACATCACCTGCACTTGACCGGACCTGACCTGATCCCTTTGAAGTGACTGTTACATCCGTAGTTCCTGGTGAAAACTTAAAATGGGAGCCCACTTGTCACGGTAACTCTATGCGCGATGCTTACAACTCCATGACCGATTCAAAGTGTGTACATCTAACGAAATCTGAATCTTTCTGATCTACATTTCAGCTAGATAACGACGCATTCCTCAGTCGCGTGTGCATTCTTCGTGGGATCTCAGAAACACAGATTTAGCCAATCATTACGCGTTAAAATTAAGCCTAGGAAGTCCGTGCAGTGGGGCGCGACTTGGTGGTGATCAACGGCTTTAAGCATTTGAAGCAACCGCAAGCGGATCCTATGTGACGAGACAAACTACCACAACTTAAGGGCCACGTTTGGGGGAAAAAGGCCGCTCAATGTCTTCTAAGGCTTGAATGATCTAAGCAACTAGGGTCTGAACTGCAGGCATCGAGCTCAGAATTACCCCAATCTCAGGGAAAGGTAGGTGTGCAATGTTGATCGATTGCGCGTAAAACGAGTTACTAGGACATTAAAGGTGAAATGAAATAGTGATCTGCTAAGTTTTAACATAGAGATGACAGGCTGTAAGTTATAAACGCAAGACATTGCTCTTCCTTTCCCAGACTATCAGACTCACAAAATATATATCCAGGCCCAGGGCATTCCTACGAGGGGCACCTTGGGTAGGCTGTTTCAACAACTATTTCCGAATTGAAAAACACGCTGTCAATCACAGACAGTAGATCCTGAATGAAGACCATCATGAGCTGCCTCCGTTCATAATCCCACAAACCTCGAACGATAGATGGATTCACAAGTAAACATTTTGCTTCCACGGCTGGGGAGAAATATGCCTTAGCCAAATTTCCACGCCGTAAATAGAAGATCCCCATTACCCCGTCCTGCAGCGACATGCGCTCGTACGCATCCTGTAGCCCGTTAAACAACATCCAGTTGGTGCCTGCACCCTCATGTACATGCCCGAACACTGGCAGTTTTGATTGAACTCTCCATAGCGTCCGTAGTACGTGAGAACAGCCCAACTTTAGTAAGTCGAGATGAGCAAGTGGTGGACCATGAGTGATGAGTGTATCGATTCCGTCTGGCACTGAGCTAGCCCGTACGTCCTGGCTTCGGGGATGTTGAAAGGCCTAGTTACCATGGCACGTGGAAGACGGTCTTCGGTACTAACGACCATTCGGCAGATTGTTGCTTTCTCATTTCCTGGGTAGATGATGTCGCCCCTGTCGAGCTGGGCTCGCTCAGAAGCTGCTCGGCCAGATGAGTCATCCTATCCTAAATCGAGTAATAGCTCATGATTATCAGCAATGGAGAGTTTGGTGGGATGAGGCAGGGCGCGTAGCCAGCTGGATGCTGCCTGAAGTTCCCTGAAAGATGCCTAATTACGTGAGATCACCAGGATGAATCAGGATGTCTCCATCTAAAACGCTGTTGTTAGTGTTATGAGTATCAGAGACGCAGACGATAGCAACAGGGCTTGTGAGTGGCGTAGCTAGAACAGGTTCATGCCAACTGTAGAGCTCCCGCGCAAGGAAGATGCAAGGTTGGCCGGGAAATTTTGCCATGGTCCGGGTCGCTGTCGACTAAGGAGTTCATTGAAGCTGGACATTATTAAGGTCTTGAGACCCAAGTAATTAGTAGTTATTAAAAAATGGCGCGTAGAATGGTGGTCTGTCTGGGATGAAAGATGTCAATTCGATGCTCCAGTACCGCGGTGAATAGTGCTTGAGATGAACACTCTGAGCGAAGATACCGCTCTGATATTAAAGATGTCCGGATTTATTATCAAGAAGAAATTGCCTTTATTTAGTCCAGAAATCTTCGAGGATAGTATAATAAATGGTTAGTTGAAGACAGATAGGACATTGGAGAGACTTCGCTAGGCAGTTGTTCGGCGCCAGTTCATCACCCAAAAATGCCTTCTCCGTTGCTATATATTTACCTTCAGTGTTATATCTGGTACATACGACCACAGGGTGTGGAGAACAGGGCTTCCCGTCCGCTCAGCCGTACTTAAGCCACACGCCGGTAAGTTAGTAGTTAGGTGGGTGACCACTAGCGAATCCTTACTGTTGTATGTTTTTTTTTTTTGGACTTTCCGTTTCTAACTACGGACTGTAATTTTGTTCTTTAGTCCACAATGTTTTCTTTGCCTGAACTTATTATTACTTTAATAGTCAAGTTTTTGTAAAGTTTGCAGGAGATTCGAAAATAGTCGGATTCTACCGACCACACGGAGAGCTGATGACATGCAATCATTTTATCAGTATCCAGACTATGATCTTCGTACACCGTAATTGACATACGGACTTGTCCTCTAAGAGGTGTTGGCCTCAGAGATCTTGCGTCACTTGGTCTTGAGCCAGTGACATGTCTCTAGCTATCGGAGAAACACGCCACAAATGAGAAACCAAGAGAGGCAACGGACAACAACCCACAGTCGGTAGGAATCTGCATTGTCCCTGAGAGATATCGACATCAAGTGGGCGAAGCCCTGGAGGACAAGACCCACTTATCTAACGCGTGGCCTGCTTCTTGGCCGCGGATCCTGTCATCCCAAACCTGCTGGCGTACGCAGCTTTTTTTCGAGTGTCGAATTTTTTTTCTTTTCATAAGGCTTCAGTTGTAATTTGCTCGTGTCTGCTAAGATCAATCTTTGCTTTTCGTGCTCGATTGACATCAGCCGGGTGGTGCTTGTCGTTGTTTCGCACAGATATACTATCAAACTGACCCGCCCGTAATCCACAATGCTTGATCATTATGCCCAGAATGACCATGGACAGTTCCAATCGGGAGGTCAAATACCGGAATCAGGATTCTCGAGGGCCAGCGCACAACCACCGGCCTATGGATCGTGGGGCGAAGATGCCGAAGACCAATATTCCAGATGGGATCCGCGAGGATGGTCCTTGAAGAACAAAATCTTCCTAGCGGTCGGAATTATCGTGGTGATTGTTGCCGTTATCGTGGGATCTGTCCTAGGGGTGCGAGCCAACCGATATCCGAATTACTCCTCATTGGACTACAGCTTGGTAGACACCTATTCGGGGTCATCCTTTTTCGACAACTTTGAATATTATACCGATACCGATCCTGCACATGGATTTGTTCAGTACGACTATCAATGATTCCTCCATCTTGAATTATCGCGCTGACTTGCTATCTAGATACATTAGTCGGGAAAACGCCGAGTGGCTCAATCTCACATACGCTACTAGCACATCAGCCGTGCTCAGAGTGGACACGACTTATAGTGGATCAGAAGCTGCTAGTGGGCGCCAATCTGTGAGAATTACATCTAATAACACCTATGCCCATGGCCTTTTCATCTTCGACATCTTGCACACTCCGTACGGGTGTGGTACATGGCCTGCATTATGGCTCACAGACCCCAACAACTGGCCTGCTCATGGGGAGATTGATGTCGTGGAGGCTGCCAATAAGGGTACTTATGGTAACCAAGCGACACTCCACACATCCGAAGGGTGTTCAATGGGCGTCAAGCGAAAAGAATATGGCACTGTGCAGAACAAGAACTGTTACTATGAGGCGAATGAATATTCGGGCTGTGGCGTGAAAGGAACTGAAAGCACTTATGGTCCTGAGTTCAATTCAAATGGAGGCGGAGTAAGTCACGATACCATATATCCACCCCCGCCCTGAAGCCACCTTGCTGATCTTGTACCTCATTAGGTCTATGCGATGGAACTTCGTGATGCCGGTATTCGAGTATGGCAGTGGGCTCGTTCCAGTATCCCATCCGATGTAACCTCAGGCAGCCCTGACCCATCAACCTGGGGTGAAGCCTTCGCAGACTTCCCCAATACCGATTGTGATATGGGGTCTCATTTCAAAAACCAGAGTATTATTGCCAATATCGACCTGTGTGGTGACTGGGCTGGTGCGAGCAAGTACTATACTGATCAAAGCAGTTGTTCTGGCACCTGTGAGACATATGTGCGGGACAATGCCGATAAGTTCAGTACTGCTTACTGGGAGTTCAGCAGTTTCAAAGTCTACCAAGCCAGTTGATCTTTGTTGTGCTGAGATTTCAACATTTTCTGATGTTTTAGCGGCTCTTTGTATTAGAATACCTTAGACTATTAGCGACGAATTTCATGCTGACAATTCCTATCATTATTTTGGGACTTTATATAGGTTGCAAGATATTGCATTTCAAATGACAGAGAACAAAGTGTAGTATTGTAGATCGGCAGTATAAATCAAGGAAAGGAAGAAAAAGGTAGCAAATACATAAAACTTGAGGCACTCGAAAGTGGGCAAAAAAGAGGCGAAAAAAGAGAAGCCGAAGAGTCCGAAAACAATACATGAAACAGTATACTCCCTTCGGGGCTTTTGTGTAGAAACTGCCCTATGGCACTATATACGCATCTATGACCTATGCTATGCGAGTGGTTTATGGCTGCTATATGGATGGTCTTTTTCTGACGCTAGTTCTGTCTTCAAATACTGATATTTATTGTAAGCTATCACATGATACCGGTCCTAGACAGAAGTGACTGAGCGCCTTAATGCCTCTTGTTGCGTTGCTCGCTGGGGGCTTATCCATTCACATCTACTATCCGAGGCTGCCTTCCCTAACACCACTATTAATTAACGATGGCAGAAGTCATATATAACACAGGGCATCGTGTTAGGATCTATAGGTGGGACTTTTCTTGCGGCTTTAAATTCAATTGCGAAAGGTTGCTTGAAAGTGCGGGCCCACTCTTGGTAGTAAATTGGAAGTCTTGGGCTATAAAACATCGTTAGTTTAAGTCAAATGAATGCATTGAAATGCTTACATTTTGCCAGCTTCAGCTTCGACATCTCACGAGGACCGGTTTCGCCTTCCTCGAGTCCGTTGCAATATTTGCCTTCCTCAACCGCGCGCCATTTCCAAATTGGCGTGAACCGATCGGGGACCTTCTCAAGTTGGTTTTTGACATACTGTAGAGAAGTTAGCCTAGGCCTTGTATTCGCCCGAGATGAAACAAAACTAACTTTTCCGAGAATTGGAAGGAACTTGAACCCATGACCACTATAGAACTACCATTAGAGGGGGTTTTCGCGTCGTATATGATATACTTACGAGCCACCAGTGCAGATGAAGAGTGAGTCAGAGTATCCAGGGACATAGTCAATCACGAACTTTCACCGGTTAGAATCTCGGTTAGGATTGACAGCTCAACTACTTACCTCATTGTCAATGCTATCCGTGTACCAGCATAACTAACCTTCTGTCAGCAAATAATTATTTCATATTGCGACGAAATAACAAACCCGGCTGTCAGTGAAACCAATATCTCTCAACTCTGGAAACAATCCACCGATGACTTGCTTCATGAGATCGAGACCATACAGGGGTACGGTGTTGATAGGCTCGGGGCTGTATTTTGTCCGAGGGGTTGAGATGCGACTAGAGCCGATCAGCAGGAGTTCTTCGGAGCCTAGAATCAGGCACCGGATCAAGAAGCCTACAAGTCTTGTGTTGGATGTTTTTGGAAATTGGTGAACTTTAACGGAAAGAATTGGTGAAAAGTTCAGGGAACGACGTAGAGTTCATACGTACCTTTCGAGCACGGAACCCGAACTTCAATCTACCTTCTCTGGTAATTGGGAATCCGCCTCCCTCGTATGCGCTGATATCCAGGTTACCCCGAGCCCAAATTCAATTGAAGAAACCACTTACCCATCACCGACGCCCTGGATGAATCGCCACACGGGAATATTGTCCGGATGGAACTTTTCTCTGAGATCCTTTCGGTCCTTTGGTATATCGATAAACATGACCGTGCCCATAGTGGCTTCCACAGAGCGATGTGCTTCCGGGAGAACAGTTGATGTCCAAGGACCACCTAAGCTCAAGGGTCAGCCGGGTGTTGCTTCACCATTTAGACAGACACTTGTACTAACAGGCAACAACAACAAGATCAGCCGAATGACTCAACCCATCGCGTGTCTTTATGCCTGTAACACGTTTGCCAGAGTCTTGGTTCTCGGTGATCAACTCCTGAAGTTCACCCTGAGGTCGACCTAGGATAAATTTGACGCCCGCTTTTTCACACAAGTGGCGCGCGTACACGCAGGCCTACCTGCAAAAGTTAGGAGAAGTTGATAATGAAGGGTTGTTACTTCACCTTGTCAGCAAGTGTGATTCCTGAGCCCGCATCGAGGAACCCGTTCGTAGCACCGTCCTTGAAGTTGTCAAAGAGGTGGTATTTTTTGGCCCATTCTGGACCCAGGTCCTTGGCCCGCTTAGAATCATCGTTGTTGTCCTATCCTTACTGTTAACAAGAAATTTCGAGGAAAAAGCTCCAGCGCGCACCTTGATAAATTGCAATTCACGGAAGGTGGGTGCTGTGTCCTCCATCACGCGCAAGTTCTCCACATAGCGCTCAATCATGTTGGGACCATCGGCCAAATGATAAACACCACAGAGAGTGAGTAGTTCATCTTCGGGAGTCAGAGGGTGGGGGAGATCTGATACACAGCTCTCTTTAATAGACCGGTTCCATTCAAGCCAAATATCCCTAGCTTCTAGAGCAAGGTCTTGTGAACTGCAGGTTTCATTAAACCTGGTGATACTTGTCATCCATTTGGTAAATCACTTACTGTTCCTGCGCTCCGTAGGTCGCCCGGAAGATTTTGTTGATATCGGCGGAGGCACCGTCACATCCATTTGAAGGATTGTAGTGGTTCTTGTCGAAGCTGCAACGGTCGAAGATAGTGACATTCTTATAGCCACCACGGGCCAGCCAAAGGGCGGTGCTCAACCCGAAAACACCACCGCCAACGATGATCACACGGGATTCGGGAATGGTCATGTTGTAGGAATGAGGGGGTGGCACTTGGAGATGTGAGCAGAGCAAAACTGGAAAACTGAAAGTGAGAGTTCGAGTAGCTGTGAAACACACAAGCGAGGCGAAATCATACCTTCTATCAGCACTCTTTAAATTTCATGATATGCAACGGAATTACCGAAGCGTTATACCCCAAGCTGAATGGACGCGGCACTCCCGCTGCAACTGCAGGTCTTTAGGGCATTATTTTCACGGCACTCCCGCCCGTGATAAGTCTGGGGCAATGTTAAAAGGACCCCCTCTTCTTGATATTCGGACCCCCTCTTCTTGATATTCGGACCCCCTCTCTACCTATCTAAGCCTAATTAGGGAAGGCGTAGTATATATATTTTATGGTATATTTCCTTAGTAAAAATAAATAAAAGGGCGTAGAGGAAGACAATAGGCCAGGTAGGGTGTGTGAAGACTTACTCTTTGGTTTACGATAGGGGTCTAAAAAGCGGTCTAAAAAACGGTCTAAAAAACGGCCTGCCTAATAGTGGTTAAAACATTTGCTATATCACTATACTAAGAAAAGACACCGTGAAATATATATACTACGCCTTCCCTAATTAGGCTTAGATAGGTAGAGAGGGGTCCGAATATTAACAAGAAGGGGTCCTTTTAATATTACCCTAAATTATGATATTACCTCTAAAACACTTAGCACCTTCGGATTACTTTTTTACTAACTTATAGCCTAAAGCTCCGACTAAAGCGGACCCACCCGTCGCTAGCGATATCGTATATGCTCCCGTGTACGGCGCCCTAAGCAATAACTTACACCTTTACGTAGTGCTCAGGATCAGTAGCCTTAATAGTAAAACCAAGCAAGTCGACTGTATTTGAGTATTAGTAATAAATATGCGGCAGAATTAGTTTTGACACAGTGGCGGTAATAGACTGCCGTACCCCAAGCTGAATGGACGCGGCACTCCCGCTGCAGCTGCAGGTCTTTAGCGCATTATTTCCACGGCACTCCCGCCCGTGATAAGTCTGAGCCAACAAAATTGAATTGATTCCCTCCAACTTCATTGCCTCGCCAGTTTATCTCAACGTAGGTCAACCAATTGAACCGGATGACTTATTATCTTTAACTACATCACGGATTTACCGAGCCTTGGCTTATAGCTTCGATATCCCCGCGTTCCACAAGATTGTGGCTGCCAGATCGCCATACTCGGGCTATAAGGATCAAGGGATAGACCCAGGCATTCACGTTTGAAAACCCGAAGTTTGCCAATAATACCTTATTTTCATTCTATTGATACTGTGATCTTCTATCGTCGGCCACAAAGAAAGGGAAAATATGGGGTTTTCAAATATTTTCAAAAGAAGCATGCTAGCACAATATGCTCAGAGGATCAAAGATGCTCCGCGCGAGGTTATCCTCAGTCGCAGTTTACTTTTGTCATGCGCAATGTACGCGACCGCGGCGATCCCTTTAAGTGTGTCTATCTCATGTTCTACTACTTATTCCAACCGTACTAAGAACGCTTCGCAGCATGGGATCAAGGATCGGCGTCCACATTACCTTCTCTTTTGGGCTTCCAGGAACAGTTCGGTATCAGCTCTAAACTCGGTGCGCATTCGACGAAGAACTTTGTCTCTCTCGTCTACATCGGTGATGCAGCCGGCGCCGCTCTATCGTTCTTCATAAACGACCGTATCGGACGTCTCTGGTCTTACCGTCTTTACACCAGTGTTTGGATAGTTGGGCAACTGGTTGCCATTTTCAGCCCTGGAAAAGCGGCATTATACGCCTCTCGAATCATTTCTGGGTTAGGAATTGGCTCTCTCAGTGTCATCGGCTCGGTCTCTATTGTCGAACTAGCTCCCACCGAAATCCGAGGGTTGCTGACTGCATGGTATTCTGTGTTTATGGTGATGGCATTGATGCTTGCTACATTTTGCGTGTACGGGGTGCAACTACACATGGAAGCAAATCGACTTCAATATCAGGTCGTGATGTTCTCGCCTTGTGTGTTCATGGCGCTGTGGCTTGTGGCCAGTTTCTTCCTCTCCGAGTCGCCTCGCTGGCTACTTTTGAGGAACCGAGATCAAGAGGCAGAGAAGGCTCTTGTTAGACTTCGTTGTTTGCCACTTGAACACGATCGCGTTCAACAAGAGCTCCGAAGTATAAAAGACTCCATCCGGTCGGAGACTGAAGCCTGCGATCACGATGATCATTCACCATCTAAGATTGTCAGTATCGCAAAAGAGACATTTACAGTGCCGTCAAACTTGCGCCGTGTCCAACAAGCCCTGATCCTTTACGCGTTCCCACAATTTTCGGGCGGAAACTCCATAACCAATTACTTTATCCCCATTCTTGAGGTCATTGGCGTCGCTGGAAGTTCCACGCGGAACCTTTTCCTCAACGGAATGTATGCTATGTCAAAGTTTTTCTTCGGCTTACTTGCATCCTTTGTTTTCATCGATGCTCTGGGGCGCCGCAACACACTTTTCACTGGCATAACCCTTCAACTGCTCTCCGATATTTATCTTGCAGTATATATTAAAGTGCAAAATGATGGCTCCCCGCCTCGTGCTGCAGGCGAGGCAGCACTTGCATCAATCTTCATCCATTCGTTGGGATATACTATCGGTATGTCTTTCCAATTCCGACCAATATTCCAGACAATTAACAACAGTCTACAGGCCTTCTCACTCTTCCATACGTATTTGGGGGAGAGTTATGGCCCAACCGAATCAGGTCCTTTGGTGCGTCACTGTCACAGACCTTTCACTGGCTGTTCCATTATGCTATGAGCTATGCCTTACCATCCTTGTTAACGCGAACCGATAACTGGGGTGCTTTCATCTTCTTCGCATCCTGGTGTTTTGCTGCTCTTATCTACGTGTATCTCCTTGTACCAGAGATCGCGGGGCTCAGCGTGGAAGACATCGATCGCGTGTTTAATGGGCCATGGCGGGTTTTCAGTAGGAAACCAAGGCCCCATGAAGAGCCTTCAGCCATTGAAGGGCAAGATTTCGATCAAAAGTTGTAACGTTACCTCAAAGTTCATGCATTGCCTGCTGCTAACCTGATGCCTAGAGATGGGAGCAAAACCAAGTCTTTTTCAGTGACGAAATATGCCCAGTCAAGCGATGAACAAATCCATGCTACGCCCCGTTAGTGCTTATTCAGTGTTATTCAGATCAATGTGTGAGAGAAAGCATGAATTTAGAACATTGTAATGATCCACCATTTTTCTCGCGTTACGGCCACAAATAACTTGCTCGTTTTCGAAAAAGCAGGGAAAATTTCTGCCATGTGTACTTTGTAAAGGGCAATGTTAAAAGGACCCCGCTTATTGATATTCGGACCCCCTTTCCACCTGTCTAAGCCTAATTAGGAAAGGCGTAGTATGTGTATTTCACAGTGTATTTAGTAAGTAAAAATGAACAAAAGGGCGTAACAAAAACTTTTAGAAAGTAAGATGATATAGGCTTGCTCTTCGGTTTGTGATAGGAGTCTAAAAAGCAGTCTAAAAAACGGTCTAAAAAACGGTCTGTCCAATGGTGTTAAAACATTAGCTATGTCACTATACTAAAAAAAAGACAACGCGAAATACACATACTACGCCCTCCCTAATTAGGCTTAGACAGGTGGAGAGGGGGTCCGAATATCAACAAGAGGGGGTTCTTTTAACATTGCTCTTTGTAAATGTCCCAGTATGTTAAATGACTAAAGACCTTACATAAAACAGATCATATGATGTGGTTCAGCTTGTGCAAAGATACCACTACGTCCACTACAAAATGCTTGGTAGGTCATGTTACACTTGCACAGTGCATCAGAAGAGCGGGGCCACGGCAATTCCGCTATTTGGCCCCAACGGAAGACCCAAGTGACAAAAGTACGTTCCGAGGCTAACAAAATGTTTTACATTGTCCAGCCAATTGACTTGTTGTTCCAGTCTGTCAATACCACAAAGCTGTCTCGAAACGAATATTAATCCTTAATAGTTGATTTTAAGGATATCAGATAAACGGTAAATTTGTCCCGGTACAGGTGACCGAAAGGCAACCAGGCTAGCGGCGCGTACTATGCCAGTTTCTCGTCGATGTCCAAACAGTAAATCGGATCACCAGTGACAATTATTTGGTTCACCCAATGAGAACGAACATAGAAGCCAAACAAAGAATACCTGGACAAATTCGGTGGCACTTGACGATCCAATAGAGCAACTTGTTGCCTGTGCTCCGGAGGGTTTGTGGGGTCGCTGGTCCCCATTCATATCTCGTATCTCTCGGGCCAAGACACCGCTAGTGTGCATCTTTCAATCCCTCTTTTCGCTTCTTCGCTTTCTTTCCTAGCGCTTTCACCCAGGGGCATCTGACTGGCGTATCTTCAGGCTGGTATTCTTTGCGGAATTTCTTTTGACTAGCCGGTTATCTTCGAGTCTTGGCAGCTGATCCTCTAAGGGTCTCCACAGTTCAGCCCCTTTTCCTATTGGTTTCATTTTTGGAATTCCACTCCAGTGGAGCTTCAGGGCCATTCAATAGTTACAGAAAACTTGGAAAATTCGAACTTCATGGAGCAGTCAATCTCAGCCCGGAAAGCCAGTCCGAGGCGGATCAACGCTGGTACCCACCGACGAAGCACTAATGCTTGTGGGTATCCACCATTCACCAAGACACCAGACCAGGCATGCTCACTAATTTGCCAAAATAAGGCCGGTACTGTAAACGAAGGAAGATAAAATGCCATTACAATAGCGAGAATAGCCAGAGGTCAGTACAGTTACGTTTTCTCACAGTCCCATGTGTTTACTAAACTTTGTATAGGAAATGCGTTGCTTGTTCGAGAGCGTCAACTGGTAACAGATAAGATCTCTTGCTAGCTGAGCCCTAGCTAACTAACATGTGCCACAGAGTGCTTTTTTGATGTTCCTCCAGATGGTGTTCTGAGGAATGATGCGTAAGACTCAGCCCTGTATCTATCCTTCATATCTGTACACTACTAATTTGTCTCCTACAGATACGTTGCAACCTTAGAAGCACGTATCCAGTCGCTGGAAAGTCAACTGCGCGAAAGTAAACCACAACAGCCAGAGGCAGGGCTTACTCCTGAGACGACTTGTTCTGAGCCCCAGGTTCCTGAACGAAATGGAGAGACCGTCGAAAGAATCACCCAAGCAACCCAGCTTTCTGGACAAGAGAGCTATTTGCCAAACAACGTAATTTACTCAGCTTAATCAGCTACAATTGTTTGTGGAGCAGCCTCACTGACGGCCAGACAGGTATCGAGGCCCGAGATTACGATTATGGAAATGGTGTATGGACGTGCTTTCGTTCCAGGGTTCGAAGAAGACGCGCTCCCTGCGCTTCCTTCTAGCAACGGAGCGAGAAAACTGGTGGATGCAGCTTATTTCTATACGCAAGCAAGGTATTGTATTGTGGACTGGACTCAGTTGCGTGAATGGCACGAACATCGGGATCAGATCGCCTACATCTCTACCCAAGCCCCAGTCAAGACCCAGACTGGCAAGTAACAACCCCGAAGCTGGAGTTGCTCAAGCTGACTCCCAATCTGCTAGGGGCATTTTTCATTTGGATAATTTACGCTATTGGAGCTCGCTTGATTCCAGACCCAGAGAATGCAACGGATGCAAGTTCCCAGCAATCCACGACTGAGAATCTGTATCTGACCTTCCTAGGCATATTTTGCTCGCGCTCGAATTTATCTCCCCGCTGTCATGGCTCTACAGGACTTATCAACTGTGCAGGCTCTGCTTTGTCTAGTGCAGTACTATTTTCGAGCCCCAACGGAGTCTCCCATCTGGTATATCATATGATATCATATCATGTTCAAGATTTAGACCTGCTGATGAGGTGAATAGGCACATTGTCGGGCTTTCTTTGCGTTTGTGTGTCAAACTCAGATATCATAGGAAAATTGCGAGTTCCCCAGACGCACAAAAGTTGGATCCATACAAAATCGAACTTCGAAAACGATTCTTTTGGTGTGCATATTGCTTTGACCGGTTCGTGCACCTTCTCTTCAAATACTCTTTTGTTCCCTCGACGGGTTTAACGAACATCCTTTTAGATCACTCTCTATTTTAACCAAACTACCATTTGGGATCAGTGACTCAGATATTGATGCCGAGGTATTTTATCCGAATTTCGAGACAATACAATAGTTACTGACTATATATCAGACACCTGTTGACATCGACGATACTTGCATTGATCAACAAAGAATTAGAGAGCTTCAAATGAGACAAGCAGCTGGAGACTCCCGTTATGAAGAAGGGACAATCACAACGGTACTGTATCCTTCGCATTATGCCAACAAGATGCTGGGACCATGCGGCCTAACAACTGTACCAGATGACTGCGGCTCTACACCATTTACATGTCTACCGTATAAGGTCTAAAATATTGTAAGTCTACTACTGGACTTGTCTTGGGTGAGATTGACTAGGCTTAGAACACGATTTACGGGACCCCACGCTCAAGTTCCTTCGCTAGTCGAAGTCCAAGCTCTCCTTTGCGAATTAGATCACTGGAAACAGCAAGCACCCCCAAAGCAAGATTCAAGGCCATTTCCTCAACAAACCCCTGATCGGGTGCAAGCGACATATACACAGGCGGTTCTCCTCTTGATACGTCCTATTCTGATGGCGAATGTCATTGACCCTGATCTAATAGGCTTGTGTGTAGAATTTGCTGTTGATGCATGCCAAGTAAGTGGCCTATCCTATTTTAAGGCTTTCGCTGATTTCTCGCCAGGATGCAAAAATACTAAGCCTGAATCCTCACACACCTCCCGATCGTGTCACTGTTTATCATTGCTTTTATTGTGGCGTTACCTTGCTGCAATGCTTGGCGATAAAACCGACAGCTTTAACACCAAGGCGCGCTCACCAGGCAATTAGCGCTTGTTTAAGTGCATTGGCTGTCTATACGAGAGTGCTACCCGCAGTTGCACCATTTCTGCGACTATTCGAGGATCTTTCCAATCTTTTGGTCTGCGACGACCATGAGTTTGAAACTCATCCCAGCCACAAACTGCGAACTATTCTAAACAGAATCGTTTCCAGTGATCCGTCAGAAGCGCCTGGGTACGTACGAAAAGCTCAGTGCATGATATGATTTTCTAACTGCAGGATCGTAGGATTCTACATTCGTTGTCCAATCAGGAGACCCAACAAGCTACATTTGGAGCAAGTTCGGAGACACTGGAAATGGAACAAATGGTGTGTATATCGCTATTTTTGATCTCTTGAAACATTCACTAACGAGCTTCTCAATAGGCGATTCAATACAACTCTATTTTGGGTGGGCAATCGTCTGTAGTACTCGGAACCAACTTTCCACTAGATATGCCTCTGGATCTCTCTCCGCTTTACGCGCCAGATGCTGAAACAGCAGACTTGTGGATTGAGCCATGGTTACATCTCTCATCTGCCGATTTCTCATAACTATATGACGAATGAATGAAATGTTCTTTCTTTCTTCTCTTTTCTTTTTCTTTCATCGACGATGGTTCCGCTGTTCATGCGGCTCTGTAATTTCATCCGTTCCGTCGGATTGGTGATCCCAGTCTAGTCACCTTCAGGGGCAAGAACACCTGCCTGTTGTGGCATTGGCGATAGTCGAATTAAGGAATCTTCTTATGGCATTGGGAGGAGTCTGCTGCGAGATGCTGACAGCACCTAGTCTAGAATTGTAGTAGAACATGGACCCTAATACTGCTTAGAAATGTTAGAGTGCTGACAAACGAGGTTACCGCAGCAAGATCGTAGGTACAGGCAACAGATAGTATGTTTGGTGCTGAATCGGATCTCAAACCCACTTGATGCAAGCTGCTGATGCCAAATGAGTCTAATGAAGCCAAAGCATAGACATCGTTTATTCCGCAATCGCATACTTACGATTGCCTTCAAATACACTCATTCTAGAGAAAATTCAAAGGCCAAAACTTGAATGTCTTTTACAAAGAACCGTATTCTCTACCCTCTTTCAATGTCTCCCTGCCAGACTCTACCGACAGAGGCAAAGCTGTCGGTACGCTTGGGACAAGGACACAAAACCATAAGAAAAGTGTCATGAAGAAGAGCGTAAGAACTCTTTTTGGACTTACGCAACAGGAACGGAGCATAGTACTTATGTGAAGGACTATCTCGTCATTGATCGCTTGAAGTGGAAGACCTTCCCTGGGCAAACTTCCGAGATCTTTCGAGGAGTTAATTTGCATCAATGTCTTGGACATACCGCTAGCTCAGTTGCAATAGAGCTCGGGTTTGAGCACACGGGCTCTGTGGTGCTTATAGGGGATGCATCCCATGTCAAGGAAAATTACGAGCTGGTTGTGGAAAAGAATGTGGAACCTTGGGTGGAGGAACGGCCACTGGATAATGCCAATCAAGCTATTTTGGAATTGGAGAATGGTTTAGCAAGGTACCGATATGTTCTTGTCAACGACAACCATGTCTAAAATACATATTCATGGATCGATGATTGTTGGCGGTAATATATCATCGGCCAATAACGAAAAATTTGAACTACTTGGCTTCTCTGGAAGTAACAATAATCATCTATTTCAGAAGATGTCTCTTTCCACTCAACTTCTTTTTACTACTAAGCCATATCTGACTGCGACCAATTAACTTGCCGGGATAAAATTGGCCAATCACAGCCGGTTGTAGTTCAGTTGGTTTAGAGCGCAAGACTGTAATTGATAACATTCATCTTGAAGTCGGCGGTTCGACTCCGCCCAACCGGATTTTTTTTTATTCCTCAAATTCGGATGCTCCACTATTTGGTAGGGCTTGGCTTTTTCATGACTTGTGATTTCAATGTCAGACCCATTATAAAGATTCTATAAGCCGAAAAAGAAAGCAGCATTCGTAAATGCCAAACGCCACAATATAGAGCATGTGACACATGTCAAAACAAAACCTGGGTGAGTGCCTACCCAAAGCCACGGAATACTATTTATTTCGCCACAACTTCGCTCAAAATGCAATGAATCCAAAGGATGAGTCACACAGATGGCGGCATGAGGTCATGAATGTTTATGGTGGAGGGGGCACTTTTTAACAAGAGACACTAGCACTCTTCTCTATTAATTTTACATATGCTCCTCACTGCGAAATGTCGGAGCAACAAAAGAAACTGGCAAAAAGCAAAGTAATGAATCAGCCCATTTCTCAGAGCAATACCGTTGCTTTTGTTCTCAAACTCCTCACTGATGGAAATCTCAGATCGCGAGTCGGTATGGTGTGGTCCCTCTGAGAGAAAAGCTATTTTCCGAGGAATCAAAAGTTTGAGGCCCACAACTACAAACATGTTCGTTTGCGTCTAACAATCAAAATAGCATCGAACATACTTCGATTCCGGAGATTTTGCTCTCAATTCCGCACACAAATCACCGGAAATCTCCCAGCAGAGCATCGGTACTAAGCACCCAGATCGTTCTCATATCTCTCATCCATTCTGCGCAGTCCCTAGTTCGAGTAATGTCTGCGAGGACGCGAATGACCCAATCCAGGTCCCGAAAGAGACGTGCCAGAGCCATCTCAAGGACAAAGATGACCTAGTCGGCCACGAAGATGAGGCTTGATTTGTCGTGATATAATTTGATTTGTTTTATCTGGCTTGGTGATACCCTTCTTTGCGGAGCTCGTAATTTGTTGAGCAGTGAAAAAAGTGGCGGGCTATTGCGTGCGATGAGCACCTCGAATTGAATATGTCAACCAGGATAAGTCTGGCAGTATCATTCATTGGACATACATACCATGAAGGGGAAATGAGTTGCTGGAATCGGGTTCTAAGGGCGGGAACTTCGATGGCGGAGAGGTATTGAATCAAAAGAACACCAATCTGAATACGAAATGATCTATTTACACAGTAGACGTTCGACGCTTCGCCGTAGATGGCAAACTGGGTTTTCCTCTTCTCACAGGACAATGAAATAAATTAAATACTTGTCTGTGTATCTATGGTTCTACATTAAGCGCTGCTGTACAAGAGAGCCTGTGGCACAAACCTTACAGCAATCATTCGATGAGGTTTGTATGTGTTAACCCCTCGATTTAATGGTCACTGTCAAAGATAAATTCCATTGTCATTATGGAATCTGTTATTTGCATGAATGGTCTGCTACTCCTGGGCTACGAAGTGAGAGGCTCTCTCCAGGCTTTCGATACCTGCCAGGTGGTAGCGCCCGGCAGCAGGATCTGTATAGAGCAGACAAAATAGCGACACTTTGCAACCAAACTGACTCCTTGTCCTTTCTCTGAACCACTAGCCCAGATATTAGGTAACTCGTTATTCTGATTTACAATTCTTGGCCAGGTATCGATATCGTCTCATCTCCTCTATCCCTTACATGTTTGGCTGTCACTCTCAACATATTCTCTTAAATGACGCATCCCATCGCTACATCGCATGCAATGTGTGGGCACCCACGTAACCAAATGTATACCCCATTAAGTCATCACGGCCGTGGGCTCAGTGCCTTGCTTTAGACAAAAGTCCGTATGTTATAGGGGTTATCTCCATTGAGATTAATTCCACTTGGCGAGGATGAGTCTAGAGACCGTTGTTGTAGCCCTTTCTTGGCCTAAGTAAGTAATAATCTGGGGAATAAAAGTCTGCATGAAAGCCTGATTTAGTATCCACAGTCAACTGTAACTTCATTAATCTGTCTTCGAAGTTTGCAAAATCTTCTCGGTGCATGCTTCAAGACCATGTGCTTCAACACCCACAAGGAATTATAGTCTACAATGACCGTGGCTGCTATCCACAGGTTCTAATAACCACAGGTAGCGCGCCTGGGATCGGCCTCACCGCATCAACGTCTCTTGAAGAAGGTGCCCGAGTTTTCGGGCTGGATGTCTCTCCCTCACCGATGTCACTTACTGAACGCCCAATTTCGTCTTTCAATGCGGCTTCACAGACAAAGCAATGACACGGATAGTGGATACCTGCCTCCATGCATATGTGGGGATAGATAACCTTCTAAATATCGCCGGACTACGGACGAATTCGGGAGTGCGGACAGCGTCTCAGACGAGATGTGGGAGCGATGTATGCTGTAAATCTGACAGCCGTAGTTAGACTGATGGGGGCTGTGATTCCATCATGAGGGCCAGGGGGTGTGGTAGTATTGTCAATGGTTCGAGCAAGGCGGGATTAAGTGGTGCTGTTTCTGGGATTACCTATACAGCTACTATGTATCTCGCCTATCTACTCGCTATCGTTACTACTGATCTGTTGCTTGCTGTTCAGGCAAATTGGCTTGTTGGGACCGCAAAGAATGTCGCCTGGCAAGTAATATGGATTCGATGCGTTTGGATATGGATTCTCTCGCAAATGCGACCAATCCATTATTTGCATTTGGGTTTGCAAGGCCAACCCCCGATTCATTCTGAAGAGATTGCTCAGACACTTCTTTTCTTGATATTTGACTACGGAGTACGTATATGCAACGCATTATGACCGGCGGCTGACTGTAACTCTGTACATGGTACCATCCGGTCTTGCAATTCTACATGCCGGGAAAACCTGGACGTTCCCATAACTGATAGCAATGCGGATTCGATTCATCACTTCCAGAACCAAGTCGTAGATGGCAGTAATTGTAATAAATTATCCTATATCATAGATGGCAACTAACCGAAAATTCTAGATTTATATTTGTGGTAAGTCCCATACCGCAGCTCTATTTTGTGCTTGGAAATTGGTCTTTCTAAATGGCCATCATGGGCTTAAACCCGTTTACTTGGTATGCTAGACGAGAAAATACGCCACGCTTCCGCACAGCCTTTCCGGTATTCCACTCTTTCATCGGATGCTCTTTTGGCGGCAAAACGCACCCAATCTTGCGATATTGAATTATTAAAATGGTTATAATAAATACTGCTGTTTTTGCCTGGCCTTTGCAAGTTCTAACGGAATACCATTTTGATCATACCTTGTATTTTTAACTAAGGGTAATCCCATCATGTACCTTTCAGGAAATCCAGATTTCTAGTTACTGGGTGGCGGAGACTGCTTACCCTTGACTACAATTGATGGGCTGTGTTGTCAATATTAAAGATGGGAGAATAGACCAACCTATTGATGCTCATACTGGCTGCCCCGCTGGTCGTTAGGCTTTTCTATCTGAGCTGCCGCCGCTCTTATGAGACTGCCCAGGCGCACCTGGACAGGTTTAGTGAGTTGTAAGCACAGAACCAAGCTCAGTGCCCAAATGGGACTGTCAGGTGATCAGATTCGAGCACGTGACCATACCGGGGACTCACATACTCTGCTGTGAAAGACACAAGCAGAAAAAAGATGACAAGGTTCCACTGTTAGAAAAGAGAAGAAAGAAAACGGGCTATCGCAAAGGGTCTCCATCACTTGAGATGCGGCTGGAACCGGGATATTTCTACCGATATACAGACACTGCTCCACTTCGGTTCGTCCGACGCTTTAACCTTCTTTAGCTCGGGTTCCTGGCAGTTGTCGGAAATAGTCACTGCCGGTGTTCGCCGGATATTTTGCACATCTTGTATGATTGACCTGCGGTTCCTCGGCCAAAAAATTATAAGACATGGGAAGATATCTCCAATTTCTCCGGCAACTCCCCAATTCTTTAAGGTAGGAAAAAACGTAAGCAAATTTGATTCGTGGAGAATTGGAAATGCACAATTTAGGCGATTGGCAGACAGAAAAAGTTCGAGTGTCAAACTGAGTTACCCCGATCTGTGCTTTAGGGCTCGGAAGGCTAAGCATTGGACGGCATAATTCTCTGCATCTTATCTCTCCAGGCACACGTCAACTGTGCTTTCGATCTAACGCCTTTTGGAACAATCCCCCGCCTAAAAAGGTTCAGCTGATATTGGAGTCAATAGTGTCGCCATCACTTCTAGAATTTTCGGATCTATAATAAATGTGGAAAAACGAAAAACGATCAATTTCCGACAACTGATGGACTGTGGCGTTCTTAAATCTGTAGTTGTTACAATAGGCATTTGTAGCTTGATTGACGGGTGCCTACATGTATGGAGGGACCATTCTACAGAGACACGCAGTTGCGGAATCCTTCGGCCACGTGTGCGCCCTGTATAAGCACTGCATTCCGTGTGGCGCATTAGATGTAATCTCGTCAAAATAATCCATGATTGGAGGCACCGGCAATCGGCTCGGATGAAGGCGGTTGCCAGATGGAATGTCCAAGGTCGATCTTCAGGCCATCCTATGACTGTTTCAATGTCTTTCAGGTGCCGCGGGCCTGGAACTCTCCTGTTATAAAACTTTCGGCACAGTCCATGTTAAACTTTGTTCCTGGCATTTCTATATTGTTCCGTTGTTTTTTCGCTTATTCCTACCCCAGGATAGTATCAAATGGTTGTCGAAAATAGCCACATTTCCTAAAGCGCTATAGTACCAATTTGGCCGTTGTTCCCTCTCTCCGGAAGCATAGATACAAAATGTCTACTCGTAGCCCGGTGGACGAAGGTGGAAATCTTCTTGGCACTCACGTAAAGCCAAATACAGACGTTCGTTTGTTCAGCACTTTTGCTCCGATTGTCTTCTCGGCTTTTCGGGATGCAGGTATTGTCCATATTGGCTCTGGCTGGCCTGGTGGTGGCTTCAGGGTCCTCAGATTTAGTGACAGCTACCACGTCGAGCCCGACATCGACATCGACTTCATCCAGTAAGCCTCCCCTTTGCGTATATCAGAGAGAAACCACCTGACAAACCTATAGCTTCAACGACTGCCGTAACCGTCGCTGCAGATGGTAGCGGTCAGTTCACGGCCATTCAAGATGGTATCTCCTACGCGCAGAACCATGCTATCCCCACTGTGACTGTTCTGGCCGGATCCTATACTCAGGCAATCACTGTATCAGCGACGCCAACTGTCACTGTGATTGGTCCAAGTGATCAAACAGATGACTACGCCCAGAATAAGGTGGTCGTAACCAATGCTGGAACCGTGTTGACTGTGAACAATAATGTCCAACAAGTCAATTTCAAGAACATCAACTTCGTCAACACTGCGGCATCCTACGGCGCCATGGTACTAAAGGGAAACAAGTACGCCTTCTATGATTGCCAAATCGTCTCAACTGGAACTTTGGGTATCACTGCCAGTATTGGTCTCGGTGTTATCGCAAACTCGTATGTCGAGGCGCTCGATAAGATCATCTATGGAGGTGCCAGTCTGTATGTTTTCAACACAAAGATTGTGCCCATTGACAACTCTGCTCTTCTCACCTACATGAAGGGTACTACGTCCAGCTCGTCGACGCTATACAACTCGACAGTTGTCTTTGACCATGTCACCGTGGCTGTGAAGTCAGGAACATCAACCAGCAATGTCTATCTTTCTGCTGCTAATGGGGCTGGAACTGTGGTGCTCTACCGAAACTCCAACTTGGGCAGCTGTGTTGCCGCGTCTGGTGCCCACATCGACAGCATAACTCAAGATGGGTACAATACATTTGTCGAATATTCCAACATTGGTGCAGGTGCATATGCAAGCAATGCTGCTACTCGGTATCAATATGTCTCTGTCCTAGATGCATCGGACCTATCTGCGTATAGCATCAGTGCTGTGTTCGCTGCTGCCTACCCAAACTATGCTTCTCCTGACACCGCTTGGATTGACTCCTCTATCCTTGCGGCTATTGAGAGCGCGGATGTTGTCACGTCAACTAGTTCGACCTCCTCCACTACAACTTCTTTGGCCACATCGTCTTCTGCCGTTTCGACTACGTCGACTTCCACAGTCACAACAACCTCTGCTACTGTCACATCTACCTTTGTGGTGGATGCCATTGCTGGACCTTACAATAATGTGACTGCTGCCATCGCTGCCCTTCCAAATGACAGCAACGAGTACACAATCTATGTCAAGAGCGGCACGTACAGCGAACAGATTTCGATCACTCGCAAAGGCAAGACCATTCTTCGCGGAGAGACTACCTTTGAGAATGACTATACCCAGAATACTGTGTCAATCGAATACTCCAATGGTGTGTTGACCAGTGCCAACAAGGATGAGGATACTCCGATTGTCAATGCCAAAAACTCTGATGGCAAGGGACTGGCTATCTATAACGTTGATTTCAAGAACACCTACCCCCAGACTACGAATACAGCCGCCCTTGCCGCTGACTTTTATGGCAACGTGCAAGCTTATGGCTGCTCCTTCATTGGTTTCCAGGACACCCTCCTCGCAAACAAGGGCACTCAAGTCTTTTCGAACTGTTATATAGAAGGCTCCATTGATTTTATTTGGGGGTTTTCAACGGCTTTCTTCTACCAATCCGTCATTTCCACGAACACTGCTGGCTCCTGCATTGCTGCTATGAGTCGCTCTTCAGCCACTGCAACTGGAGGTTACGTCTTTGATAACTGTCTTGTCACCTATACCTCCAGCTACGGTAGTACCTACCAGAGCAGCTGGCTCGCTAGACCGTATTCCACATATAGTCGTGTCGTTTACATGAACTCTTACCTCGATAAGCATATCAACCCTGCTGGATGGCACATTTGGTCAACAGGCTCCCCTCAAACAGACTATGTCACATTCGGAGAATTCAACAATACTGGACCGAGTAGTTGGTCTAGCAGTCGTGCATCCTTTGCGACCAACCTCACTGAGAGTCAGGCCGAAGCCTACACTCTGGCCAACTGGATTGGAGACACCACATGGCTTGACATGAATGCCTACGGCTTTGCACCATCCTACGACCTGACTGGAGGAGCCAGCACTACAACGTCCGCCACTGTCAGTGCTACTGCAACCGCTCTTTCTACCGCTACAGCAACTGCAACTTGGGCTCATCCATCGAGCGGTACTACTCCCCCTACTGGTGCCGTCTTGGTTAGTCCGTCTGGATCTATCAGTGGCTCTTACAGCAACCTCACCGATGCGCTCGCCTCTCTCCCGAATGACGCCACCACTCAGGTGGTCTTCATGTACGCTGGAACCTATGAAGAGCAAGTTCCCACAATCGACCGAGATGGTCCGGTCATGGTCATTGGCTATACTACAGGAAACCCCGGTCAGACCTACGCCGACAACGAAGTTACCATCACTTTCGCTCATGGACTCTCCGTGTCTCCTCTGCCGACCGGCCACTCTGATGCTGAAACAGCGACCATCGCCACCGCGTCAAACATGATCGCTTTATATAACATTAACATCATCAACTCGGACAACCTTGATGGTCTGGAGTCCTCCTACGTGACACTTGCAGCATCCATCTATGGAAACCATGTCGCATTCTATGGTATGTTCTATCTGACTTACTAATTTGATTGCCATGCTAATATTGAGATTTTCAGGTTGCTACTTTCAAGGCTGGCAAGACACTCTCCTCACCGGAAACAACGCAGGATATCAATACTACGAATCATCGTATATCGAAGGTGCCACTGACTTCATTTGGGGTTACTCCAAGGCCTACTTCAAGGGCTGCACCATAGGAGCCAAGAAGGCAAAGTCTGCGATCACCGCGCAGAGCAGAGCTTCATCTAGTGCGATCGGTGGTTATATATTCGATCAAACGCTCTTGACCGCCGCGGCTGATGCAACAGTTGATCTTACCAGCACCGTGTACCTTGGCCGTCCTTATTCGCAGTACGCACTGGTTGTTGTGAAGAACTCTTACCTCACCTCCATCATCAATCCCTCTGGCTGGAAGGTTTGGTCCTCCACTGACCCACGCACCGGTGCCGTCACATTCGCCGAATTCAACAACTCCGGACCGGGTAACTGGGAAAACAATGCAGCTTCTCGTGAATCATTTGGCTACGCCACACTCCTGACAGAGGATACCTACTCCCTTGCAAGCGTCATGGATTCAACTGACTGGATTGATATGACTTACTGGGACACCATTGATACCCCTACGTCTGTGTCGGGAACCACTGTTGCCACCTCTACGACCACTGCCTCAGCTACACCGACAGCCACAGTCGCATATGATGGTACAACTCCTCCTTCCGGGGCCTACATTGTTTCCAAGACAAGCCTTGGGACAAACACTACTGTTTATGATACTATTCAGAAGGCGCTTGATGCTTTGCCAACCTCGTCCAAAGTCACACCCACTGTCTTTATCTACCCCGGTACATACGAGGAGCAGCTTATCGTCAACAAGTCCGGCTCAGTGATTATGATAGGATACTCTGAGTCAGCCTATGATTACTCCAGCAACCTGGTTACCATTCAGTACAACCACGGTGTTGACACTGGCGCCAATGAGTCTAATTCTAACAGTGCAACTGTTTATGCCACGGGAAACTACTTCCAGGTAAGCCTCATTTTCATTTTGAGAAAACAGATGGGAAGGCGCTAATTGTAAATGCAGGCGGTGAACATCAATTTCGTGAACAACAACGGCACGCAGCAGGATATCGCGACTCTCGGCTTCGCTGTCAAGTCAAGCAAGTATGCCAGTCTTTATGGTAAGTCTGATTGCCCATTTCCAATTCAAAACGATATTGATACTATGAACAATAGGCTGCCAGGTCAGAGGTAACCAGGACGCCTTGTTAATTAACGGTAATCTATTCATGAGCAACGGATATGAAGGAAACATCGACATGATCTGGGGTAGTGGCGCAGGCTACTTCCTCAACACGACTATTTCTCCTAACGAGGATGGCATCAGCATCACAGCTGATAAGCGAACCACTGCTACAGCAGCTGGCGGCTTTGTCTTTGATCAGTGTACCATCACTCCAAATGGAGGATCTATGTTCAAAATCTCCCTCGGCAGACCTTGGAACTCCTTTGCTCGTGTCGCATACATCAACTCCTACCTTGGGTCTTGTGTGGAGTCTGCTGGATGGGAACAGTGGTCTTCATCTAGCCCGCAGACATATGGAGTCACCTTTGCCGAATACGGTAACTATGGCCCCGGATCTAGCACCACGAACCGTGCCTCGTTCGCTACGCAGCTGGACAATGCTGGAGTTGTCCAATTTGAGCTGGCCAACTTCTTCACCACTACCTCTTGGATTGACTTCACTCATGTAAATGGTACTCCTTTTGTTCCTGGCACCGGCGTCAGCTCGACCGTCGCTTCGAGTGCTACCCCGACTACTGCCAGTACTCTTGCCACCTCTGTCTCCGCACTGATCACCACGACAGTCGATATTGTGTCCACTTCAACGACCACTGTATTTGCCACAATCAACCCCATTGATAAGACCTCGACTGTTAAGGCCACTGTAACCCTGATCATTACCCCAGATGTTGTCTCAAAGACAACAACTGCAAAGTCTATTATCACCATCGCGGCGACTGTGACTGAGCCGCCTACTGTCTCGACCAAGACATCGCTCGTGACTATCGATGTCGGCAGCACATTGACTCCAGATGCCAAGACTGTTACTGTGACCGACAAGTCTACTACTACAGTCATCGTTTCCGCGGCTGGCAAGGATACCACAAGCACCCTAAAGAGCACCCTCACCGCAACTCATATAGTCACGGCTGCCGCGTCAATCGTGACAACCACAGAGATGGAAACGACTACAAGCCTCAATACAATCAGTGGCAAAGCTGTCAAGTCTACATCAATTGTTACAGTCACCGTTGGAAATGGAGGAACAACAACCATCAGCACCAAGGCAACCACTGTAATCGTTACATCCACATCGACAAGCTCAGCCTCCAAGACGGTCACAACCACGATCAGCTGCGTTAAGGCAACTAAGAAGATGAAGCGTGAGCTTGTACCTCGGGCTAATCCTGCTACGGTCACAGTCTACACCACAGATATCACCTATGTGACAGTGACTGCAACCACGACGATCCCAGCTACGACCGACTACATTACAGACATCACAACCAAGACAACTTCCATCAAAGCTTCGACTGTCACAGACACGATCACATCCCTCGCAACAAAGAGCTTGGTGACCACAATCCCGGCGGTCACTTCGATCGTGACTATTACAGACACAACCTCAGTTGGAAAGACAACAACCCTCAAGGCATTCACAGTCACAAACACCATTACCTCGCTGTTCTGGAAGACTTCGACTGTCACTCTTCCTGGCTCAACATACACAACTGTCAGTGTCAAGTCAGCCACCGTCAAGAGCACTCTCAATGTTCCTGCCTCCACTACCACCGTCACCAAGACTACGACTATCAAGAGCACTACCACTCTGCCTGCTTCCACCAGCACGATCGTTAAGACTTTGACTGTGACCAACAAACCCTCTGTCACAATCACCAACCGTGCGACCTCCACTTCCACCGAGGTTGTGAAGACTACTTCAACTAGTACCGCTACTGTCACGAAGACAGCTAAGTGCTCGTGATAGCTAGTATTCGTGATCATTTCTTGAGTGGCATTTTGTTATTGTTTTCCTTTTCTTTATTTCTTATATCTCAGCATCTTTGATTCGTATATACTATGTCGTGTCACAATATATTTTTTATTATTCATATTCGATTAGTACAGAACGCGTAGTAAGCATAGAAACTGATACAAAAGTTGCCATAATATGTATAGCAATTGATAAAATAAGTACTAGACAGGCTCTACACGAAGGCTCAGCCACGAAGCCAGTGTACCGTTTCATGCATTATTTCCGCCCTACTTAAGCAATTTTCCTTTTACCTCGTTTTGCCCATTTTCGAGTGCCTCAAGTTACAGTTGTTTGAAAATGGTAGGATCGTATTTGATATAAATGATTCAAAATGAACAGACGGCCTTCGGGCGGATATTTTACCAACTTCTTTGCAATTCGTATCAACACCCCAGACGATCTCACTCCGCAACCTCAACAACTAACTTCGTACAACTAATACCCTGGAGCATTTTGTCCAATCCAGCATTGATAGCCCCCAGACCCTTCCCCACGATGCTCGGCTCCGGACTCGGCCTGATGGCCCCCTTGGCCAGGTTATCCCTTAGCCACGTCCCGAGCCAGTATCGGAACTGCTCCAGTCTCTCCTCTTTAACGGACGACGCAGTCACAGATATCGTCTCCACCCCTTTCACGACCTCAGCATCCGGAGGAAGGCGGGGTGCCGACGCGATCTTCGCCGTCTTTGTCTTCTCACCTTCTTGACCCTCTCCGAGGAACCTCTTAAGCACAGCCTGACATAGCGCCAGCTGCCCGGTAGCAAGGAAACAATGCCGGATCACTAACCCGTCCTCCTTAGCCGCCGAAACGATGGCATCCACGACTTGTGAGTCTTTGTAGTCGAACACGCGGTCCGCGCCCAATGAATGCACATAGCTTCTATGCGCCGAGCCGGCCGCGGCATAAACGGCTGCGAAAGAAGAATTGGGATCTCCCCGAAGGAGGCGGGCTGTTTGTACGCCCATGGTGCCGACGCTAGAGGACGCACCCCAGATTAGGAGAGCTTCTCTTTTTTCCATGTTAGACTTTCCCTTCCCTCTGCTGGCATCGGTACTAGTAGAGCCATCAGGGACTGGGATCCCCATGAGATCCCACGCGCAAAGGGGAACCTCAGTGGCGACGGGCAAGGTTGCCGCATGGTTCCAAGATATACCCTCGTCCGGGAGAGGCACAGCATGCTGCCAGGGGACGAGGCACCGCTCCTGAAATGCGCCGTAGTCTGGGTCGCTGGACGTCCAGATAGGGGCGCCGTATGCAGCGACACGGGTGCCTGGTCGGAAGGAGGAGCCCGAACCATTGTCGGTAGCACCGGTGGGAACGTTGTCACCGACCTCGAGGACTAACCCCGCCAAGTCGAAGCCAACGACGGTGGGGTACGTGGATATGAAGAGGCCATGATCACGCACATAAGCGTCTGCCGGGTTGAGAGCTACGGATTTGACAGCGATGAGGAGCTCGTCTGGTCCTGGCTTTGGAGTTGGGCGTGTCTGGACCTCATAAGGTTTGCCTTTGGCTGTAGAGACGGCGGCGAGGTGGTTGGTCATTTGGACGTTTTGTGTAAGTAGAAGTTTTGGAGAGGTGGAGGACCATATGCGTTTGAGGATTTAGGGCAATAGGATTATGGAACTCAATGAGAAACTGGTGTCAGAATAGAGAGTATAGAGGGAAAAGAGACTGAGAGTGTCAATGATGATTGATTTTTGCTTGGAACTCTCTCTTTATTTATGCTTAATCTGACCATATGATCACCTGGTTCATTCTTTGGTATTTGTAATAACTATCAGTATTCAGAGACTTGTCCTCGGGGTTCGGAGTATCGAGATACAAGCATTAATAATGCCTATAGTTGCTAGGCTGTGATTACTAATTATAGGGTTTATTGATGCTTCTCTCGATAATGCGAGCAGACTATGGTATTTTAAGTCAAGATTCATGATTCTGATGTCATGGGCATTAGCCTCTCTTCCTAGGATACTGAGGTATAACCTTCTTCTTATACAATTAACCTATCTTCATGTAGTGACGGCCCGATGCAACTGTAGTTTATAGATGGGAGTGGGTCGGGGCAGGACTCAGCCAATCAGAGATCTCTGTATCCGAGGAAGGGCTAGCGGGGAAGTTAGCGTATGCCTTTGAATGTGAAACCAAGCGTCCTGGGGGTGGCCATGCCTCCCCCGGCTACGGAGCTCTTTGGCATTGTATTCCATTTCGAGAGGAAATCCCTCACAAGCTCCGCAAAGCATTGGACAATTAACCAAGTATGGCATCGACTTGTCCAAGAGAGGATCGGGAGCGTAGGACTCCGCGGAGGTCGAGATTGGGCTGCCGGAATTGTAAGCTCAGAAAACTCAAGGTAGGTGGCTCTCGGCTTTCCTAGACTGGTGCTTAGCTGAAAAATCTATTTGTCCCTTAGTGCGATGAAGGCAAGCCACACTGCAAGAGATGTAGTTCATTCGGGGTATTATGCAACTTTATGTCTAATATTCCGGACCTACACCCCATCGCCGCTACCACAAGGAGGCCATTGGTGGTCCGAGGAAAAGCAGAGATTCAACCCCCTGTCGCAAGTGCTGTCTCGACGTCTGATAAATCCACGTCCTATCAATTGAACGCAAAGTGTCAAGATTTCATCACCCGGTATCTTGGACGAAGTCTCATCACCCCAGATGACCCTGATATGATGTATGTTAATCGCAAGCTTCTGAGACTAGCCTTCGCCGTAAGTATTATTATATAAGACAGGATCGGAGCGGGATTATATATCATCGGCCCGAGCTCCGCTAACACGTGGCTTACAGTACCCTTTTTTAATGCACGCCTCTCTAGGTGTGGCGCTTACGTATGACCGCTATCTGAATAACTCATTAGGCTGTCGTCGCAGCCTAGAAGAGTGCTACCACTGGTCTCAAAGCACAGCTATTCTCAACAGGCGGCTAAAGGAACCGATTGAAGCTAAGGATAAGGATGCAATCTGGGGTACCGCGGCTGCTCTAGCTATCTTGACCTTTTCGTCCCCTGATGCATGCACTCCGGAAGAATCGTGGCCTTTGAGGTCCTCTGTCCACTGCGATTTAGACTGGTTACGTATGAGCCAAGGTAAAATGTCACTGTGGAACATAGTGAACCCGCTGCGGCCGGACAGTCTTTTTCGCGTCATGGCCGCAACCTTTGCTCAAATGAGTTCACCTTTGCCAGAGATAGGCATAGATGGTATACCAAGGGCCGTGGCTACCATGTGTTTCCTCAACGACTCATCTACGCCGAAAAACAATCCGTATTTCTATGCTGCCCACGCAGTATCCCAGATCCTAGACCTCCCGGATAGTGCGGTCACAACAGGTCAAACTCAAATCTTCACGCGCAGTATCAACGGCGCTTTCGAAAGGTTGCTCCGGGAAAGGGACCCTATAGCACTTTTGTTGCTGTATCTATGGTACCGCAAAGCAAGACGCAGTATATGGTGGATTGAACTTAGAGCTAGAGTGGAATGCCCTTCTATTTGCTCGTACCTACGGCTATATCACAAAAGGAATGTTTCGGTCCAGGCATTCCTCCCAGGAGGTGCTCTCGGCGACTAGGGAACCTTGGAACCTTCATCCACTAGGCTGCGCTGTCACAAGAGGAAAATTAACTCTATCGAAGTACTGAACTTCCCCTGAGACCTTCAGCTAGCAGTCAATTGGCTATCAGTTATTCTTATTTCCTGATATTTATCTGAACTATAGATTATTTATCGACATTTCGAAATGATGAAATGGATAGAAAAGAGAAGAGAGCTCAAGAAAATAGTTGATTTGGTGGGCTTGGAGTAAAGGTACGCGATAGATGTCACCAATGGAGATGTCCTCGGGAGTGCAGAAGTCATGACTAACCACGGACCAAAGTTAAAAGGAAAGTAAGTAAGATGATTCATAATTACGTCATTTATCACGTAGGGGCTAACAGCTCGCGAGGGCTGCCTAGAGCTCTTATCACTATGGCACTCTCAAATATATTAGTTTTATCAAATCTTGTCTGCCAAGAGACTTCACCGGCGTGGAAGCAGAATCAACAGATAGCCATTATTTACTGAACGCAGAAATAGAGAATGCAAGAGGAGAGTTCTCAAAATACTCATCCACACCACCCCTTCGAGCATGTACAAGTACCTGCACATCCCTTGTCATCTCATAATCACCATGTGAGAAGGGAGGATGGCACAGAGACGAGAGATTTCGAAAGGCCTCGCATCCTCGATGGATTAACCAACGTCTTATCTGGGTGGGGATGGTTGACACCTGAATCTGAGGGTCGTTCTCATTCGAGAAAATCCTTGTCAGGTCAAGGTTCTCTAGACCCACAAGGGACGGCTCTGCATTCCTTGGAGTCGGATCAGATCCGAAGAACTACAGGGACAAACGACGAAGCAGAGGAAGCATCGCAGACATCGTTCGCAGAGGATTATGGAAAATTCAACAGAGTCCTCCAGTACGACGACTCCAGTACTGTTCAATTATACGAAAAGAAAGTACCGGTTTTTGATCAAACCACATCGCCAGCAAGACCTTCGCAAAGCCATATGCTGGCGAGACTGAGGCGAGCCTCTACGTCGAATACAATTAGGGAACTCTATGCAGTCAAAGTGTTTCGCCACACCCAAAACACCTCATTTCCGCTCGCCAGTCCGCTTCCACATGGAAGTCAAACCGAATCACTGTGCCACCCTAATATTGTCCCGATCATAAACATTCTCTATAATAAGCAAAAGAACCTCTGCCTTGTCATGCCCTACTATGCTGGCGGCAGCCTGCACTATTTCCTTTCCCAGAGAGGCAGACCAAGGGAGAATCTGTCCACCGAAGAGGTAAACTGTTTTGCTATTCAAATCCTGCGTGCAGTGGCGTTTTTACATGAACATGACATTGCCCATGGCGACATAAGGCCAGAACATGTACTGCTCACGGCTCAGGGTGCAATAAAGGTAGGTGGTTTTGGTGAAGATGAAGATGCAATTCGAGAACTAGCCCAACTATCACATGGTAGTAACCTCACTTCATCCGTTTCGGTACCCAGCCCTAACTCAGCTGCGGCTTCTAACTATAAGCCGAAGCTGTGCATTCGGAGAAGAGTCTCGGATTTAAGTGTCCCTTATCTTCCGCCCGAGAGGTTCCCCAGTCGTCGTGGCTCTCGCCGTCAAAGCTATACACATCAAGACGTCTTTGATATTAGATCGGGAGATATATGGGCATGCGGCATGATATACATGGTCCTACGGTCCGGCCAACTCCTCTGGCACAGCGCTCACAGAGTCAATCCTGAAAAATCCTTTGCTGATTATCTCTCCTGTCGCCTGGGGGAAGATGGCTATAGTCCTATACAGGTTCTTGAAAATGTAAGTTACTTCACTTCTATCGTCTGTTTCTAGCGAAGTTCGGGATGAGAAAAGTATCTAATGTTTCGGAATGCAAAAGCGCTGCCGAAATGTGGTTTATGCGATGTTACATCCCGACTCAGGGTCGAGGATTACTGCAGCAGAGGTCTTGAGATCTGAGTGGGCCCTTGGGGTTGCAGTTTGTGAGGTTGGGGAGAGGGGATTATGATCAATATTTGATTTTTTTGCACTTTCTATATGATTTAAATTCATTCTGAGTCAAAATCTCCAGGGGTAATTCTCTTGTTTGTTTCTCTAGTTATTCCGAGTCCCGTGAGATTATCGCTTTCATGACTTTGGTCTTACAACATTCGTTTTATCGCAGAGACAAGGACTAAAGGAGGGTTACGATTCATGAGAGTCAGGAAGAAAGCTGCTCGCTATATTCATATCCATGGCTATATAGGTGATGAAGACATCGTCGTTATCTCCTCCGGTATGTCATTCGCTCTTAAAGATCAACATCCCCCAATGCTCTACTTCTTCAATGTCAACACACCCGGAACCCAAGGCAGGGTGTTGTAGTCATTGCTGGCGCTGGGATTGTGCCCCTGGTAGAGGAGCTGCAGGTTGCATGGATCAACTGTCATTGTTTGGTCAGAGTTCGTGCGAACCAGATCCCCATGGCTAATATCGTTGGTCCAAGTGGCGCCACTGTTGGCTTTTCCAGCGAAAGGGTTGCTCTCGGTTCCTGCCTGCACTTTCCATGAACCGCCTAGATTGTTGGTAGTGAATGAGCGGAAATAACGACCATTCGATCCAATAGCTTCGACAAGCATCAAGTATTTGTTTTGGCCCTTAAGAGTATACACCTGGACGGCCTCGAACAAGTTGTTGGTGGTGTCGGTGAGAATCACTTCGTATTGTGTACCGAAGTCGCCTGGGAAATTACCAATAGGCATGCTGGCTCGGTAAATTTTGCCATTGTCCCCAGCAAAGAATATATACATATGCGTACTGTCGCCGATGACTGTCTGATCGAGGAATGCGGCATTAGCGCCAGAGATAGTTCCAGAGAAAAGCGGTTTCTCGGATGACCATCCATTAGTGTTGGTAGGATCACTTGATGTTCGGTATGAGAAGGCGGTTGAGCCCCATTGGTAGGCTAAGACCCAAATGCCCTTTGGCTTGAAGTAGAAGAGTGTAGGTGCAACAGTTCCGTGTGTCATTGCATTCTGACTCGCCGATGCCATGTTAGACCAGTCCGAAAAAAGACCGAAGTTCATCGACCCATAGCTTCCTGATGTATCCGTGGTTGACGCATACACAAGATGCTGGTTATTGTAGACCACATTGGTGAAGTCCTTGACCGCCGACCATCCTGACTTGGGACTCGCCAGCGCACCGGTTGATGTCCAACTGTAAGTGGATGGTAGTGCGCAGTCTGCCGTGGCACCAGGCACTGAGGCAAGTAGAACAGCGCCAGATGATAACAGGACAGACTTGGGGATACGAAGTTTCATAGTGGTGCTTTTTCGTCAAAAGTGCAGTTAAAAAGGTAATTGGTGAATTTTGAGATACCAGAGAGAAATCCAGATAATGGTGGAGATCGTGTTTATATAGCCTACTCAGGGAAGTCCTTCAAAGTTGAGGGAACCAAAGATATTACCATAACATAAACAGATCCCAGGATGGTTAACCGGGAAATATACCTGAAGGAATACCCGTGTGTTCTATTTGCTACCATGAAAGCTACGCGGATCCATTATATTAGGCAAATTGCATCGAATAGCCTTTCATCCGTCGGAAAATTGCCTTTCTGGTCACAAAGATTGCTTTCCCAATCTATCTGCAGACACAAGATCCTTGCCAAAAATGATTCTGCAACACTGCGTTAGACTATGGGGGCTTCCTTCTAGATTGCGGTACTCTTGATCAATCATCGCGTATCAAATGCGGCACGGGTGCAGCGCAGTATCGAGCCATCACATCCTCACTACACAGAGGGGTAGCTTGGTTAAAAAACAGACGTTCTAGTTTCATTTTGGCTCATTCCCTCTTTGCCAGCATCATCAACTCAATAATACATAAATCATATATAAGCCTCCACATTTGAAGTCGAGATTGGAGAGCGGGGCCCCGGGAGGTTCCCCAGACTGCGGAGTAAGCCGGGCTCGAAATATTCAGTTCGGGCTAAAGGGTTCAAGAGAAACAGATTTGACCTTACTTCATTTGGTAGGAGCTAAATTATCCATGAATAGCTCATCAACCTTGGTTCCAAGGGACCTGGTCGGGTGGATGCAAGCACCCTGGCTCCCTATCACATGGATACATCTAGGTCTGATCTCGTATCCGGGTGAGCCCAACTGCTGCGTCGTGCAGTTCTTGTCTCACTCAATTTATGACGCAGTATCGTCTCGCGCTAAAGCGGAAACATCCTTGTCAGGAGTAGGGAATTTCTCTGCGATGGGGTACGTGGACTAATTTTGGGGTTTGTCATCCAGCGGTATTACTCTAGACAGCAGATTACATCTCACTTATTTTTCATTATCTCAAAGACTGTCCATGGTGTCAATTAAAACCAAAACTCTTTCTGATAATTATCACACTCTGCTGCTCATGAAGAGCATGGAGTAAAAGTCGGGCTATAACGTCTACACTGCGCCGGTGCGATCACCGTTGTTTACATTGTAAAAATCTACATTCGATACATTCAAACTGAGTTTGAGGTGGCGCCAATCTACATTTCAACTGTGGCATAGACTTGGGTTAAGTAACATAAGGTGCTTACAGGACAGGAACTAACTTTGTGCTTCAAACTTGCTTTGTCCCGGCACAGGGCCGAGCGGCTCAATGAAGCAAGCCGCGATGAACTTAAACTCAACCTTCATTCTTGTATATAACCGTAATCCGGCACTTGTGGAGGATCGCAATAACTTATATGAACAGAAACCTCGTTGTGGATATCATCTCACTCGCGGTTTTCATTGGAGAATACTCGTTGGAGGTCGCCTATAACACTTAAGCTCGATTGTTCTCAATGACCGCACTCTCTCGTTTTAGAGCCTCGCACAAAGCGTTTCCTATGGATTGAATTTGGTGGGTCTGAGTCACACTGTCATATGAAAAATTACGGGCATGATCAGGATAATCTTCCTGAGCATGTGTCTCGCTTGGATGCAACCAGTGAGCAGTGCTTGACTAAACGCAATGTATATCCAATGCCTCAGCCGATCTTGGTATAGAATGCTAGTGGTCAGCTTTTATTACACTACTAAGCTACATCTCTAGATGGAATCTATTGCCCACTTTGCCCTGCTACTCAGAGCTTGGTAGTGCCCTCGCACATAGTCGCCACTGTGTCAAAACAAATCCCCCTATATGAAAGTGAAACCGCCTATCCTACGCATTCTATGATTACCGCTTCTGGGTATATCGTTCATCTCAAGACGCTCGGTCGCTGCCTTTTTCAGCCGTGAGAAACAAAGAGGTACCACGTGCATCTGCAACGAGATACCGCAGGCAAAGTATCGATGATAGATAGAGATCACCATTAAAAAGTCTTTCTGTAGAGTCTTCTAAATGTTTCTCTCTAACTTCATTAAAAACAAGGGACGACAAGTTTGACCCTTTTCCGATCGTCCAGAAGTATTGAAGCAGATTATGTACTACTTATTATATTTATAAGCGCATATACGCCGTACATTTCCATGGTTGACTCTTACAGATCTTGGATATCCAACCTGAGTATGTGGCTTAGTAGGCATGTGGCTCAGGGGCCGGAACTGTCAAACCCGAGAAATTACCGCTTCGGCCGAAAGTCTAGATATGGCCCCATATTTCGTAGATTCATAGCAGCATGGACTAAGAGCTCCCTGGCGTTGACCCAGAGACCGAAAGAATCTTCGTTACTATCGGGGGCTTATTATTCCTTGAACGCGGTTCCTGAGTAGGATCACATATCTAACAAGGGAACAAGCTGAATTTTGGCGAATAGGATAGGCGATCATAAACCTCTCGACAGTATGTCAGTGCGGGTGTTAGAAAGGCTAGGACGTATCCACACTCATTTCAAATCGAAAGAAGTTCTCCAGGACCTAGTCACACGTGATGCATTGGATCGGAGGAATAAAAGCCTCTGTTCAAGGGGTTTCGTTTCTAATGAGGTCGAAATTGGAGATACTATCCTACACTTAGGAAACAGCATTTCAATCCAAACGCTAATATCCTTGACCTGTCAGGTATGTTGTGTTCATATGTCCTCCCTTCTACCAGCCAGCATTTACTAAAGTTTGTAGCGCAACCAGCTACTACCTTCCGCTTTCGTGTCGACGTGCAGGATGATTATAACTCGCGGGTTTTCTCTCACAAATTTTGTGATCGCCAGCTCAGCATTCTGCTTCCAAGTTTGTGTTCTGTACCCTTGGCATCACAAACTCGACGATGAATTTCAACAACTGAAGACCGAGCATCTTCGGCTGCTGCAGGAGGGTGAGGAGAACCGATTGAAGGAGTTAAGGGGTATCCGTGAACATCTTGGCGTCTTAAATGCCAAGAGGAATTAGTTGCTTAATGACTTTGGTGTTGTACAACATGTCGCGCAGTGCGAAACCCCCACCGCATGGGCCTTGAAGCAAATGTATATAATCAACCGCACTACTGGCGTCAACCCCAAACTTCAAACTAACATCGTTTGCTACATTACAATATATTTGAACACAGTTCCATTCAATTACACGGTCTAGCTCTAGGAGGTTGTTTCTCCTTCAAGTATTTCAATCCTTTGCTTGGGGGCGAGTGGCATCGAAGGGGTTCCGCGACTAGGTAGGTCAAACTGGACAGAGAGAATGAAAGGAAATTTGGAGGCTTTCCCGTCATATTGATGTAGGAATGACTCGGTCTGGCGAAGTAGATGAAATTCTGACTCGAACAGCAAGAGGATTTTGTTCAAGTTGAGCTTATTTCATCTTCGGTCCTAATTTTGCTCTTTTATACTAGATCAATTGGACTATACGGGAACTGCACTCAATTCTCAAAGTGTTTCAAGATGAAAACCTTCCCATCAGGTTGCATCATCTCAATTCAAGACTTCCTACTCGAAAATGACCCCCATCAAGATCCGAACTTGAATATTCACAGCGAGAAGACGCACGGTATGCCTGTGGAGAAGTGCATAGAGCTAATATCCGGTGTCCTCAAGCAGAACATGTTTGATTTGGATGATGCTGGCGCTGCCGTGACTGAGCTTGACAACAGCCAAATCCGGCGCTTCCTACCTCAGACATTCGAAGGCTATGCTCCTGCTCTTGCCTTGGCATTCTCCTCAGAAGGTCGGATCCTCCCTTCTGACTTATCCAATGGCAAGATTGAGCTTTGGGATATAGATACCGTTCAGTTACTTGAATGCGATGGTGAGCTAATTCAAACAGTTGTGTTCCACCGCGAGGAGCGGACTTTGCTTTCTGTCTCTCGTCGTGGCACCCTCCGCCTATGGGATACCGTTATCTGTTACTACATACTCCGTATAGTAGGCAGAGTATTGATTTTCAGGTAGCAGCCTATGTCCTAACATCTAAGGTTTTATCGAACCGTAAAACCGCCATCAACCCGAAGATCCGCCCCATTAATCATCCCACTAGAATCCTATACAAATCAAGAGTCAGAAGAACACTACCATCAAAACCCGGGACTCAAAGGAAATACTCACCTGACAAAGGAAAACCACGGCATCCGCGACCTCCTCAGGCAACGCAAACTTGCCCGTAGGGATACTTTCTAAAAAAGCCCTCCTCACCGTATCCTCCCCCCAAGCCTTCTTCCCCAACTCCGTCCAAGCAACAGTCGGCGAAACTGTATTAGCCGTAATCCCACGGCCGCCCCACTCAGAAGCCATACTCCTGGTTAAACCAAGCAATCCAGCCTTGGACGCACAATATGCACCATGGCGGTGTAACGCGGCATGCGCAGCCTGAGAGGAAATACTAACGATCCGTCCTGGCGGCGGTGGTGAACTAGTTGATGACTGTGCCTGTACAGACTGCGATGCAGCGAAGTAGCTCCGTGCAAAGGCTTGCGAGCATAGCATTGGGCCGAGGATATTTGTTGTTAGGTGTTTCAGGGTTTCTGCTGGTGGTGTGTGCTCCATATTGCTTAGGGAGACGTAGCCGGCAGTGTTTATTACGATGCTTGGGAATGCTTTTTCTGTTGGTGATGTTGGTGAGGTCGTTTGGTGTAGTAAAGAGTCGAAGGCAGATTGGACTTCTTCTGGGGATGTTATGTCGCATGCGTAGGTGTGGATGTTATCCATGTTACCGGCTTTTGCGCCGTAGCCTGATTCTAAGAGTTCGTCGCGGCGGGAGGCTTCGAAGGGGGCGTAGAGGATTGCTAGGCTTGCGCCTTGTTGGTGGAGTTTTTTGCCTATGCTTGAGCCTAGGCCGCCTGTGCGGTTGTCAGCGACGGCACACTTATATATAACACTGCAACGTTATCCGTATTGTCGTTCATACCGAGGCCACCTGGGAGGATTGCTAATCTGCGGGTAAAGGCCATTGTGTGAATATTACTGAGCTCGAAGCTAGAGGCAGTGTTACTAGAAAGAGGTCTGCTTAAGAATGGGTTGGATATGAAGTTGAAGTTGTTCTGTTCCCCACGCTTGGACTGAGGGGAATGTGTACGCTTTAGGTAATGATCGTCTACACGCTTGACGTCAGACAAGACCACATCGTTGTCTATGCGAGCTAGACAGCGTATGTTGATATTGCTTTCAGCATCTTCATACATCACCAATCTACTCCAAAGACATACCTGGTAGTCCCATTTTACAATGTCAGCCGTGGTAGGAAAGACAGAGCCACAGGGTTGACAAAACTCAATTGAAGAGAGCTCTGTCCAATCATATCAAACTACAAACGAGGCTAGTCCTCATTTAGTCTACGCATTTACACGTCTACGAGCGGTTTGCTATAACTGGCAATCCCCGGTACCGACCTGCCAATCAAGCGGGTCTAGTAGAAGAGCAAAATGCCCGTGCAGGCCACAGTACTGCAACAACTCGATCCCAAGGGTACACACGATGTATGTGCAAAGATGTGAATCCCTTTGGCGCACCGAGCAGATCACATCTTGTCGATCGGGTGACACCATACATAAATGTGCAGGGCTGTCCGCTAATCCACTATTCCGCCACTAGGCAGGAATGCAGGATGTCGCAGGGATCGACAAGAGCACAATGACGGAGCAGGATCGAAGCGGTGACTGCACCAAGCACAAGGCTAGCAAAGGGCTGGAAACAGGCGTGATAGACCTGCCAGCAGCAAACCGCAGATTTACACCTCCAAAGAGGCGGTTAGTAGCATCCGCCTTGAGACTGCATCTGCGAGGCAAGACACCAAAAGAGGAGAAGAGGGATGAAACATGCATGTCCTTTCGCTGGTATTGTCCAGATCAAGTTTTAACGGTAATATCTCAGAACGAGACTTGCGCTTTCGGCGGACCAAAAGCGCGAGATCTCGAACACCCGCCATGCGTGTTGCATAAAAAACACTTACCCTGTGCATCCATGTATGGATGCCGTATTACCATATTATATCCTCCTTCGGCTGCTTGGAAGTGTAGTCACCGTGACCACTCGTAAGCACCGGCCTTCTTTTCTTTCTTTTTCTCTCAGCGAGCTGAATAGAACTTCAGACTGACACTGGAGCGTTCTTGTTCTCATCCCTCCCGATCGGCTCGTTAACCTCGGTATCCGAGTCGGCAATCTTGAGGTGCTTAAACCAACCATCATTCGACTTGCGCCACCATTCAGCAACCGCAAGGATAGTGACACCACCCATGATCACGATGGCGTAGTTGAACAGGCTGGAGTCTTCGTCGATCGCACGGTTCGAGTAAGCCGGGGCACAGAGCACGGCGAATGCGAAACCGTTCCAGATGAATGTGACAACAGCAGCCACCACACCAAACCGACCCAAGTCCCAGAAGCCCGGGCGGAAGGTCTTTCGCGTGATGAATGCGCGACCGATGCCAACCAGACCATATGCCGCGAGTGAACCAGCAGCGGAGGTCGAAACCAAGCTAGAGAAAGCAACCTGGGACGGGAGCTGAGTGCAAAGCAGAAGGGCGGCAATGGTCGCGATGAAGATGACCGCGTTGTGGGGCTGCTTCGATTTCGACACACGGGACAACACATCACTGTATGGGAAGACACCGTCGCGCGCCACGGCGAAGACAAGTCGGGAGACAGCCACCAAGGAAATCGAAGTATTCAGAATAGCTCCGATCATTGAGATGATAGTCATCACCACATGGGCATGTGGACCAAGCGCCATGGCGTACATGTTGATGAACGGCTGGGGCGCGCTGGTGTCGTAGAAGGTCTCGATAGGTGGCATGCAGAACAGGAACAGAATGATTATAGGGAAACCACAGAGCGCAGAAGCCACGGTCGCCCAGAAAATACCCTTAGCAGCTGCCTTCTTAGCCGAGACAGTCTCTTCTGCGACATGACCCGACGCGTCCTGTCCCACTAGGCAGCTTCCCACCAAGAACCAGGAGAGAACCCAGTTAAGGCCGGGACTAGTATCACCGCCATTGTATGTCGATGTGAAAACATATTCAGCCGATTGAAAACCGTAGGTCTTGGACACGCCGATAGGCAGCCAAATGAAATTGAGCAACATATCGATGATGATGACCGTGACACCCGCCCGGAACACCCACGAGTACATACGTGGCGGGAGGAAGTTCAACGCGGTAGCAATGGCCAAGAAAAGCAGCGAGAAAGCCCAGGCCACCGCGCGGGCACGCACATCCGATGTCTCATACGGGAAGCTTGTTTTCGGATTGAACACCACCACTTCGGAGACAAGATAGTTGGCAACGCCAAACGAGTCACTAGCCAAGAAAGCAGTCCACGCAACTAAAGTCCACGCAGCAACGAGGAAAGAGACAAAGCGACCAACCCGACCACCACCCCAGGATCGAAATGCCCAGTAGTAAATCGACCCCGCGGCGGGGTAGCTCGAGCACGCTTCAGCGAGGCAAGCGGCGGTGATGATCGAGAGGATACTACCGGAGACCCAAGAGCTCCATCTACGGAAGACAGGTGTTAGTGATCAACGGTGGAATGTAGAGACAAGTTCCTGGAGCGTGTGATACATACATAGCGGCCGGCCCACCGCCACTTAGGGCGATGTAGAACAACACACGGATGCCTCCAATGCAGTACAAGGCCGAGAAGGAGCAGGCAAAATTGTCGAATGACCCCCAGCCACGTGCGAGAACTGCACGATAGCCCAGATTTAGCAAATCGCGATCATCTTCATTGGTCACCGACATTTCATCGGTGTAGACCTGATGTTGGGTCTGCATCTCTTGAGACTTGGCTTCAACAAGGTCAGAGGATGCCATGGCGCGTTGTCTTCTTCTTTCGCAATGAGAGCTTAACGAGAGACTTGGGGCTTGACAATTCTCACTTCGCTCAACAAATCTTGGGAATCTGAGGAATTAACTTTTTCGATGGCAGATCACGTGGGACGATCAATTGCTTGAACGGAGACCGATGTTCGGGGCTGTTCTGGATTGGTGTGGATGTGACTTGGGTCTGTTAGTAAAATAGGGGCCATTGACACATTATTGGAACTGTGCTGTTGCAGTTCCCTGGGTTACAGTAAGAGTTGATATTTTCGTGTACAGGTAGCTCTGACCAATTGAGGCCCTAGTACGCGGGGTTAAGTAATTGAGTTATAATGTAACTCTCGACCACCTCATGGTCTGACCATACGGTGAAAATAACAACAAGCATAGCAAAGCAAGCATAGAAAACAAATATAGGCAAACCAGTAGATCAATATCACATCCTTGCTTCCTTACATGTAGAGAAAATAACGAGTCTTATCGGTGACACCCAATGGCGTGATCGACCTTAGTCCCCCGATCACGGAGATTACCGTGGGGTGTTGGTACCGGGTATGAACCGTAACTTACATGCTGATCCCCGGTAAAGATGGGCATATTAGACTTGGTAACGTTGCGTGCACCGGGTATGTACCTAGTACGAGGGCTGCTGATACCGTACCGCTGCCCCTCCTCGTAACTCCCCGTTGGGTTAGTCTACTTTTCCTCCCCCTCTATTTTCTTCGAGCTTTTCCCTCTTTCTTTCTCTTTCTTCTTCATCTCTCAAAAGGCATCGGGTGAAAATTCTATCCTTCAAGAGACCCTGCCCATTTTCTCCTTACACATACACATCCGTCAGAATGGTTCAATCGTATGTCCTATGCTCTATCTGCTCCTCATTCCTTCATCGCTAACTCTCCATAGATCTGTTCTGGGTTTCCCCCGTATGGGAAAGCTCCGTGACCTCAAGAAGGCCACTGAGGCTTACTGGGGCGACAAGATTTCCCGTGACGAGCTGCTCTCCGAGGGCAAGCGTCTCCGTCTTGCTCACTGGCAGATCCAGAAGGATGCCGGTGTCGATGTCATCCCCAGCAACGACTTCGCCTTCTACGATCAGATCCTCGACCACCACCAGCTCTTCGGAACCATCCCCGAGCGTTACACCAAGTACAACCTCCACCCTCTCGATGAGTACTTCGCTATGGGTCGTGGCCTCCAGAAGGAGGGTGTTGATGTTCCCGCTCTCGTACGTGTCCACTAATATTTCCCTTGTTCAATCAGATGCTAACAGTTCAACAGGAGATGGTCAAGTGGTTCGACAGCAACTACCACTACGTCAAGCCTGCCCTCCAGGACAACCAGGTGTTCAAGCTCGCTGCCGAGCCCAAGCCCGTTGCTGAGTTCCTCGAGGCCAAGGCCGCTGGCATCACCACTCGCCCCGTCATCCTCGGTCCCGTCTCTTTCTTGACCCTCGCCAAGGCCGACCGTGGCCAGAGCGTTGACCCCATCACCCTCCTTGACAAGCTTGTTCCTCTCTACGTTGAGCTCCTTGAGAAGCTCAAGGCCGCCGGTGCCGAGGATGTTCAGATTGACGAGCCCGTCCTCGTCTTCGATCTTGCTGAAAAGTCCAAGGCCGCCTTCAAGCCTGCCTACGAGAAGATTGGTGCCATTGGTGCTAAGGGTCCCCGTATTACCCTCACCACCTACTTCGGTGACATCGTCCACAACATTGACGTCCTCGCCAACCTCCAGAGCCTCTACGCTATCCACGTGGACCTTGTCCGCAACCCCGAGCAGCTCGACACTGTCATCGCCGCTCTCGGCCCCAACCAGGTCCTCTCTGCTGGTGTCGTTGATAGTCGTAACATCTGGAAGACCAACTACAAGGCCGCCATCGAGAAGGTGGAGAACGCCATCCAGAAGCTCGGCAAGGACCGTGTTGTCGTTGCCACTTCCAGCTCCCTGCTGCACGTCCCCCACACTCTCGCCAGCGAGAAGACCCTCGATGATGAGGTCCGCGACTGGTTCTCCTTCGCTGTCGAGAAGACCGCTGAGGTTGTTGTGATCGCCAAGGCTGTCACCGAGGGCCCTGCTGCCGTCCGTGCTGAGCTTGAGGCCAACGCCAAGTCTGTCCAGGCCCGTGCCTCCTCCAAGCGCACCAACGACCCCACTGTCAAGGCCCGCCAGGCTGCCGTCACTGAGGAGATGCACAACCGCAAGTCTCCCTTCCCCACTCGCCACGCTGAGCAGGGCAAGACCCTCAAGCTTCCTCTCTTCCCCACCACCACCATTGGCTCCTTCCCCCAGACCAAGGAGATCCGTGTCCAGCGTAACAAGTTCACCAAGGGTGAGATCACCCCCGCTGAGTACGAGAAGTTCATCGAGAAGGAGATCGAGGAGGTCGTCAAGATCCAGGAGGAGCTCGACCTCGACGTTCTTGTCCACGGTGAGCCAGAGCGTAACGACATGGTCCAGTACTTCGGTGAGCGTCTCACCGGTTACGTCTTCACCACCCACGCCTGGGTCCAGTCTTACGGCTCCCGTTGCGTGCGTCCCCCCATTATCGTTGGTGACATCTCTCGCCCCGCTCCTATGACCGTCAAGGAGTCCAAGTACGCCGCTTCCATCACCAAGAAGCCCATGAAGGGTATGCTCACTGGACCCATCACCTGTCTCCGCTGGTCCTTCCCCCGTGACGATGTCCACCAGTCCGTCCAGGCTCAGCAGCTCGCTCTCGCTCTCCGCGATGAGGTTGTTGACCTCGAGGCCGCTGGCATCCACGTCATCCAGGTCGATGAGCCCGCTCTCCGTGAGGGTCTCCCTCTCCGCTCTGGCTCCGAGCGTGTTGCCTACCTCAAGTGGGCCGTCGACTCCTTCAAGCTGTCCACCGCCGGTGTCACCGACGGCACTCAGATCCACTCTCACTTCTGTTACTCTGAGTTCCAGGACTTCTTCCACGCCATCGCTGCTCTCGATGCCGATGTCCTGTCCATTGAGAACAGCAAGTCTGACGCCAAGCTCCTCCAGGTCTTCATTGACCAGGCTTACCCCCGTCACATTGGTCCCGGTGTCTACGACATCCACTCTCCCCGTATTCCCAGCGAGCAGGAGATCAAGGACCGTCTCGAGGAGATGCTGCAGTACCTCACTCCTCAGCAGTTGTGGGTCAACCCCGACTGTGGTCTGAAGACCCGCCAGTGGCGCGAGACCAAGGCCGCCCTTGAGGGCATGGTTGCCGCTGCCAAGTACTTCCGCGCCAAGTATGCGCAGTAGATCCTTTCAACCCTTTTACCATTTTAATAGGAGGCGACATTCTCAACCTGTCGTCTCTGGATCGGGGCATTTTATTTTATGATGAGTTACGAAGATGATACCAAAAGTTCAACATATGGGTTTCAATGGGTTTCTAGAGGATACCAAAAGCGGGCCTGGAGTTTCAACATGACTGACGATTTCACCTGGCACTGGCTGTCATCACCTCGGTGATGTACGGCTGTGTCGGGTTTACCATTTCAACATTGTGTGGTTTCCACATGCGCAAGGTGTACAACCTTGCTTGATCGATCTCGATCTACTGTTTCTATTATCGTGTAGAATCAGATGTCAATATTACATTTCCACAATAACGTTTTCCTTACGTAGACTCACAGTAGTGCTTGACTATAGGCAAGCGTAGGTTCCAATCGGTGAATTGTATCTCGGCTTACTCGTCGCAGACCTCAAAACAACTTGGCCATTGGCCAAGAGATTCATATAATGCAGTCAGTCACCGGAGGACTATGCCTAGCATGAGGAGTCCACAACAAGAACCAGGCACTCCCTCACGTAGGTCCTGATCTGCTCTGTGTAATTACCGGCCTTTCCATCTTGCTCTCGATATCCTTCATAGTCGGGGATATTGTGGGGTGAAATGGTTGAGTGAATGGATGGAGGGTGGAGGTTGGACTATGTATTTATATGGGAGGGGGACCTTGAGTAACACCTTGGTCGAATACCACAAGGTACTCAGCAAATAACTCAATAACCACGTGCCTTTGTGAGACCGGAGGTGAGGTTATTGCGACGGTACCTACTTTCATACTGTGTTTATCTGAACACTAATCATTGATCCCTTGTCTAACGCCGAAGTCGATGCCAGCACAAGCAACAAGGCAAGTTGAACATTTCGGATCGTTGATTCAACGCTTCGATAATCTGCCATTTCTGTAGAATGTGAGTCCTTCGGATATCGATGCCTACTAAGCTGCAGGTCCCAGGCAAGCACGGAATGCGGGGAAAGGGATGATGTGCGTCTTGGCGCCCCATTTCCGTCAATCTCAACCCACTTCTTGCTTCCATCCACTTGCACTGACCTCCGGGGCACGTCAATACTAAGGATCTAGCTGGAGTAAAGTGATAAAGATCATTGCCCACTGTGAACCCCAGGTTCATTTCCAACATGGCACCCCGACATGACAAATTCTCCGCGCAGACGGTCCTCGGACCACCAGCAGAGCGCACGCTTCGATTCACGGAGAATGGCACTTTCCACATCTCAGTCTTCGAAGACTTGCATTTCGCCGAAGGTCTGTTCAACTGATACCCAAGCTTGCTTCGAGGAATCCATGAATAGAAGCAACCACGCTAACGCCTCAGCAGATGAAATCAAAGATGCGAAATCGACAAAGGTGATGAAATACATCCTCTCAAAAGAGCAAATCGACTTCGTAGTCCTGAATGGCGACCTGGTATCAGGCGAGCGGACCCGAAAAGCCGACTCGAAGAAATACGTCGACAGAGTCGTTTCCCCGCTCCTCGGCGGGGGATACAAATGGGCCTCGACCTACGGCAACCACGACAGCGAGGTCAACCTCGACCCCAAGGAGGACATGTTCAAAGCCGAGACGCGCCACGCTAACAGTTTGACGGAGAGTAAAGTCTTCGGGCTTAAGGCTGGCATCACGAACTATTACCTACCGGTGTTTTCTCATGGGGCTTCGGAAACAGATAAGCCGACCCTTATTCTTTGGTTCTTTGATACTAAGGGTGGGCATTATTATCAGCCCGAGGGGCATGGGGGGCCATCCGTTAAGAGGCCGAGTTGGATTGATGAATCGGTAAGAACTGTGATCTGATTTTTGTGCTCGATAAGTGAGAATGAATTGGCTGACTGGATTTAAGGTGGTGGATTGGTTCAGTGATACTAACTCAAAGCTTAAGTCGAAGTGGGGCGTTATTCCCTCGTTGGCTTTCTATCATATCCCCGCTCATGCAATGTTGGAGTATCAGAGCAAGAACCGTGTTGACCCGCGTCGAAACCCTGGTATCAATCGCGAAAGGGTTAATCCGCAGGGTACTGGCGAATGGAGCTACGATAGCCAGGATGTCAAGTTCATGAAGGCCCTTCTTCGTACTGAGGGGTTGATTGCTGGATTTAGCGGTCATGATCATCAGAATGATTGGTAGGCAAACACGAAACACTTCCCATGCTCTGACTGTCGCAATGCTAACAATGACAGGTGCTTCAAATGGGACGGCTCACTGGTCGACCATGATCTAACCGGAAGCGGCATAAACATGTGTTACGGCCGGCATACGGGGTACGGGGGATATGGTGATCTAGCCCGCGGAGGCCGTCAAATCCTCCTCGACGAGAAGACTCTCAAGGAAGGAATCGAGACTTGGATTCGATTGGAAGATGGAACCATTTCTGCGCACGTCACGTTGAACTCGACTTATGGTCAGGATCCGTATCAGGCTGTCACGAATAGTGGTACGCCAAGACCGAGCGTGCATTCGGAGGGCTCGGTATTCTCTTTCTTCTGGCTGTTCATCCCATTGTCTAAACTCTTCCGCTGGTAGATCCGCGGCTATGTTCTTCCTTCTATCTTTATATTTTGGTTTCACTGTGCAATAGAATAAGTAGCCTTGCTGCCATAAGTCTTGAGTTATTTGCTATCCTGTATTTCCTATGTAGGCCGACATGGCAATATAGTCATATATTTTATGCTTTTGGAACGAGGAGATTGAGCCGCTGATGCAAAACACGTCCTGGTGGTTTAAAGGCGCGTCGAGATTATGTCAAGATAGATTGATTAGATTAAACTATTTAACTTGTTCGTTCCTAATCGTATCCCCCGCGAACTTGAATGATACAATATTTTCGCAGAGAAGCATATATCCTACAACTGTGCAAGTAGAGTCGCGCATCGCTCAGCGGTATCCTCCGTACTCACGAACTCTGCACTGGGCTTGTTATCAAGACCAAGCTCAACAAGCGTGGAACCTAAAACCACATTAGAGACACTCAAAACGATAGAGAACGTCAGATAGGGAATGTCCAAACATACCATGAGGATCATAAACCGGCCACCCAACCTCACTCAATCCTCTCCTGGGATCCCTCACAAAAGCCCCCCAAGCTCTCCGCATCACGCCCTGCAACAGCAACTGCGGCTCGGACTCAGGGATACCAGTAATTGCAGCAGACTCTCCATAAATCATATTCAGCTCCGAGCCATGATAAGCACCACTAGTCGGGTAAAGCCGCGTGTTTTCCCAATCGGCATTATACTGGAACCGCCAGACGGGACTGTGTCGACGGGCACGATCTGCAGCTTCTAAATTCGATGGGCAGAAGAATGTTCCCATGTTGAAGTCGTCCCATGCTTTATCTGTTAGTGTTGAGCCCTGGGCGTAGGTGGCTACTTTGTAGAAACCTGCTTCGTTGGAATTGTGGCCTAGCAGGTAGGGCTAGGGGTAAAAGAATTTGTTAGTGGATTTCCAAATCGCTTCTAACACATCGGATCCTCGGAGAGGCTACGAGACAACTCACAATACGGGCGAATTTCCCCTCAGCCGAGAGAGCTGTATAGTTCCCGAAAACAGTCACCCCATCGACCGTCGGCTGGAATGCAGGTGCCTTCCTCGCTGGGTTGGTAGTGGGGACCTTAACAGAAGCAGCAGCATCTCGAATGGTATCAACATCCTGCCTTCTCATACAAGCCAGCACATCCCCCTCACTCTCAGATGTGCAACCCGCCTTCGCAGAGGCGTTAAACCAATGGCTCGCCGCGACCTCAGCCGAATTAACAGGGAAGCTAAGCGCAGTTCCGGAATGCGAAATCAATCCGGAAACAAGTGGCTCGTCGCGGTACGCATAGGCCCAGTAATCGACCGAGGCACTGCCGCATGATTGACCGGAGATGGTGATTCGATCTGGATCACCACCGAAGCCGTGGATGTTCTTCTTCACCCATTCTACGGCCAAGCGTTGGTCCTGTAGGCCTGGGTTTGGGGATTCGTTTGGAATTCCTGGGAAGCCGAAGATGTTCATGCGGTAGTTTGCTGTTATTACGATTATTTCTTCCGACGAGGCGAAGGAGGCCCCGTTGTAGAATTTTGTGTTTGTTGTGCCCGAGGTCCATCCTGAGGATTATTGTTAATTTGTGTCTCAAGGTTGGAGGTATTGATGCTGTTGGGTGTAACATACTTCCGCCGTAGAAATGGATATAGACTGGTTTCAATGGCTCGTGGGAAACTTTAGACCAGATGTTGAGGGTTAGACAATCCTCGCTTTGGGTATGATTGTTGACAGTGGTAAAAGATTCAAAGACCCGATCAAACGAGGCCGTTTTGTTGGGATAATCTACCAAGCTTGACGGCGTGTATATGCAATCACTGCGGTTCCAGGCGTTAGTTTAAGTTGGAAAGGAATTGTATCCCTTGGGACACACGAACTTTCCCTAGAAAAATGGAAAATTAGTATGTTACTTCGCATCTCAACAAATAAGTCACTGCTTTCTCATACATATTTCGATGCAACCTGGACCCCAGATCCCTTATAAGATCGGGGCGATGCAAACCGCAAATCACCCACAGGGGGCTGCGCATATGGCACACCGAGCCATTCCACAACACCCTGGCTACCAGGGACATCGTGGCCGATAATTTCGCCATTTTGTGTAGAAACAGAGATCACCTTGGCAGCAATCAAGGGCGCAAACCACAAGACGGCAAACTTCATACTGGGCAACAACATCAACAACAATAAAGTTACATCCGCAGAAGCAAAAAGACCAAAGGAAGGAACCCGCAGGGAAAAAGCAACAAATCTAACAGCAACTAAAAAAATAAATTTGCACAGGAACAGGCTAGCGACTAGCCCATTGGTGTTCTACCGTATGGGCAATGCGGAGTGGTTGGGGGCCACGCAGGATCGGCCCATCAGATCGTGGTCGGTGGAGAATGGCACTGACCTTCTCGTCGGACAACCTATATCCGGGAATGATTGTCGCTCATAGCCTTGGCCCGCGAAGTCCAGGATTCGCTCTAGGTGGTCGATGTGTCCGGGTTGTCATGCATAAGGAGGAGTTCCCCCGAGTTCCGAAGTGTACAGGTTTTGTGCGACGATGTGTGAATGATGGTGTTCTATGGCCAGACTGTTGATGGGATCCCCGACCGGGGGTATATCCTCTATATTACGGCCCTGGTGATGGTCTTGGTTGCGGCTGTTTTTGTTACTGCTCGTTTAGGGACGAGGATTGTTACGAGGCAACTTGGGCTGGATGATATTTGTCTCGGGCTTGCTCTGGTCTCGTCGGTTGTTTTGACTGCAGCTATTGATATGTGTAAGTTGCGGGTTCTCAGTTGTGTTTGGCATCCCAAGTTGATCATATTCAAGCTGTATACCATGGCTATGGCAGACACAAGCCTGATATGAAAGACATGAATGCGGCTATGATGGTGAGTGACTTTCTTAGATAGCCGCTATTGCACTTTCTACTCCGAACGGAGTATACATATCTTTTGTGCTTGCTTTTTTATCTTGTTCAGCAGATTTCCATTTCTCACATTTCCTACCCCTCCAAAAACAAAGAGCGACTTCTAACGGCTATTGGATACAGTGGTTCTTCATAGCCCAAATACCATACAAAATAGCCCTCGGTTTCACGAAAGTCTCCCTCGTCCTTCTCTACCTCCGAATCTTTATCACCAAGACATTCCAGCGCGTTGGAAGAGGATACTTGGTGGTAATACTCGCCTGGACGATCGCATCAGTCTTAGTCACGATTCTACAATGCATCCCGATTAAAGCATCCTGGGATAAGAAAATCGTCGACAAGAAGTGTGTCGACAAAAACTCATGGTGGTATGCCTTCGCCGCCATCAACACAGTGACGGATTTCTTAATAGTGATCCTTCCAATCCGGCCAATCCTAAATCTGAAGCTTTCGAAGCAAGACAGGATTGGGTTGCTCTGTGTGTTTGGAATTGGCGCATTGTACGTCCTGTCTCAAAACTGCTTGAATTAACGATTATATACTAATCAACTATAACTATGAACAGCGTTTGTGTCACCAGTATCCTTCGAACCGTCGCTGTATCTCAGACATCTACCGGTCTAGATCAAAGCTGTGAGTGCAAAAAGACTTTGTTAAAGAAGCGATGATACTAAAACATAACAGGGGACTTTATCCCCCGCTCAACGTGGACTTTAGTAGAATGCAACATGGGAATAATTTGCGCCTGTCTCCCCCTCCTCCGTCGCCCACTAAGCTTCATATTCCCCTGGCTCTTCCGTCGTGGAACAACAAGGGGTAAATCAGGAAAATCGTATGAGCCCACTGAGCTCCAATACATGGAGCGATCCAGACGGCTTCGCGCAACGCAGAGTCAGGAAGAGATACTTCAGTCAGAATCTGAAGCTGGGAGGGACTCGCCAAAGGGCGAGGAAGCTCAGATTGCGGTTACTACAGAAATTCGGCAGGTTACGACGGCTGAATATGATGCTGAGTTACAGAAACGGTTAAAGTTGGGTATGTAATTGTTTCTTTTGGGCTGTTTATGTGGGCTGGATATATGTTTTTGATACGACAAGCACCGGTGTACTCATCTTTAGATTTCGACATAACGTTAATGATACCCTCATAATTTAAGATATCAGTACCTCGTGCATAATTATTCCTAGATAAGTAGCCCTAGGACATCAGTATTCTGCGGTGCCGAGGTTAGTAGAGCCCAAAGAGGGGCTGAACCCTACCTAGGGACATGTATACGACTTGGTGTGTAACAGCAATACCTTTTGGTCTAATGATGATAATTAATTCATCCCACGACCCATCCGAGAAACATGGAGATATACACACTATGGCCACCATAGAAATAATTGTGGCTTGGGAACCGGCGGAGCCCCAGAAGATAAACTTGTCGCTCGAGGACGTGGATGATGATATGCCCGGCGAAGGTGAGGTTCTGGTAGAAATGTGTGCAGCTGGCATCTGACACACGGATATTGTGCTATCCTCCGTGCCCGCGGGAAACTTTGGAATCGCCTGCGCGAAGGCCGTTAGATATGAAAATAGTGAAGCCACCCCCGACATCTTGCATTCTTCACTGCTACAATTACTTAGGATATAACAGGGTCTAGTATTATGCGCTCTGTAGGCCCCAATGCAAGCTCCGTCCTGGTCGGCGATCCCTGCTATTATCCTATCACTCATGTGCCTCATGTAAACGATGTCATGATTCACATCCTGCTTACCGTGATACTTTCGCACTCGAAAATTACATCGGCCGACAGACTTTCATGAGTGACAAGGAAACCGGGGATGTGATAACCTCGAGATTCTTCGGTCAGTCCAGCTTTGCTCGATACAGCGTTGCGAGCGAGAGGAGTATCGTCCATGTCAGAGAACTTCTTCACGATATAGACGAGCTGAAGCTCTTTGCGCCGCTGGGCTGCGGATTCCAAACTGGTATTGGGTGCAATTTACAACGCTTCAAATGCGGGACCCAAAGATACTGTGATGATACTGGGCTTGGGCGCCGTTGGAATGGGAGCTCTTATGATGAGATGGCCTTGTTCCGCTCTTCATTCAATTTCCTGCAAGACTTCGTGGCTAACCCTGAATATATACACAGACCGCCAAGGTCCGTAACTGTGAGAACGTAGTTGTAGTAGATCGAATCGAGTCCGGGCTCCAACACGCCAAAACTCTCGGGAATTGTCATACTATCAACACAAGCGCCTCGGACTACACGACGTTGAAAGACGCGGCTTTGGGTTGGGTTCCCGGGGGCCTGTCTGTAGTGATTGATACCACATGTGTACCAAGTCTTATTGAGGACTCACTACGATGCACACGGAAACGAGGAGAGCTGGTTCTGATCGGCGTCCCACCCTGGGTTATGCGGTGAATATCGATGTTGTAGAACACATTAATGTAAGTCCTGGCAGTGGTTGCGGCAGCCTTGGCATGTCTTGAAGGGCTCACCAGTTGACAATCTCTATTTGCATTTTAGGCGGGTCGTTTGATTGTAGGATGTATTGAAGGAGACTGCATCCCATCCGAGGTTTAATACTCTTCCTACTTCCTTGCGCAATCACTTCAAAGAGGAGGCATTCCCTTACAAATTATAACGACAGTCCATTCCACAGATGATCGAATGGTATAGAGAAGGTCGATTTCCAACTGACCAGTCGGTTCAGTATTTCAAGATATGCGACGATTCCTTCCCTCTGTATTTAATTTTGTTCCGGCTTTGTTTCTTGCTTTTTCAGAGTATCTGATCTGGGAGGTCACATTATTTAGGCATCACTATACCAGAAAGCACTGTCGCAACTGAAGGGGCAGTAGTTAAGCCGATATTGACATGGGAATAGCTGCCATCGAAATAATTCAATCTTTTCATTAGTGTGTTTCAGGTAAATAAGCCCCTTGATCCACTTGCGATCAGAGCATGGTATTCCGATGTGGCATCCCTTTGTTGATTGGTGCAAATTTTGTGCATTGAAATACTAAACTTGCTATGCTGTAGTTACTTTAATGACCAGGATCGAACTATACATTGGACGCGGATGAGCGGAAGGCTATGATAGGAGTTTTTCCTTTTCGATTTGCCCTGTCTCTAAATTTGGCTCTATCTGGTCTATCATCCATTACATACTAGTAAGATTGCTTCTAAACAGTGAAGTTCAAGACGGAAACCCCATAAATATAAACATTATAGATGTACATTGAATGCAAGTTTTAGCTGGCCGTCACCCTTCAAAGGTAAACGTAGCAGAAAGGACCAGAAGTGGTACTCATAATATCGCGCATGGCAATAGGGCCTTCACCAGCAAGACCAATATCAACAAGAGTGTCCAAGGTAGTGTTTGCTGAGGCAGGCGAGTTCAAGAATGTGGCAGTACCAGAAATGGCATTCAGACGGTTCTTGCGATCCATGTTCTGCCAAATCCACCAGGTACGATCAATCATACCGTGGTGGAGCCAGAAGGCCGGATCACCGGGGCTGACATAGACATCGCGAGCAGGATCACCACCCATAGCGTAGTGACCACCGCCGTGAACACCGATAGACCCGCTGCCGGGGACACCCTGCATGTTCATCTCGAAGTCCCAGACGGAGTCGTGGCGGAGGATGAGATCCACGACCGAGGTGTAGTTGGCATAGCTCTGGACGATGGCGGTCGTCAGATCACGGTTAAGACAACGTGGGTTGTAGTCCAGTGGGTTTGCCGCGACGCTGACGTTTCCACCGGGGAGGACCAATGCGGCCGGGCCCATGTTGACCTTGAAGTCCTTGAAGGGGCCGCTGGTGACACAGCCACCGCCTGTTCCGGTGGGGAGGTGGATAGTCGGGTAAGCGCCGAGAGCGAGTTGGATATCACCGGCCGGCGCGACGTATTCGCCATTGCCGGACATTGAGGTGTCGCTGCCATCGAAGACTTGCGAGTTCTCCAAGTCGTGAGCATCAGCGGCCCAGTTCCAGTAACTTGGTGTGTATTAGCAATTGTCGCTATGGGACTATGATTGAAGACAGAGTGAACGTACGGGTAGTCACCGGTGTAGCCACACTCGTTACGAAGGGCCTCCTCGAAGTTCCAGATGAAGTAACGGTGCCATGCCAAAAAGGTGCCGGTGTAGTGAATTCCCAAAGTCTGGTTGATGTGCGTAGCAACGAAGTCATCGTAACGAGACTTAGCACCAGCGGCCACGTTGGAGGGCGTACGCGCGGGCAACTTTGTGAGACAGAGCACAGAGTTGATGTAGGACTTCTTCTGTTTCGTCGAAAAGGTCCTCCAATCGCGACGAACGCGTAGATTCCAGATCGAACAGCCTCCGCGCTTCTCGTTCTCCGAATCACTGGAGACACTAGCGCTCGAGGTGTTGAACGCAAACTCAGCCAAGTGGTCGAGCTGGGCAGCTGCGACGGGCAGGGAGGCGGAAGCAGCCGTGGGGGCTGGAGCAGAGCTCACAGCCGGGCTCGAGACAGCAGGCATAGCCCACGCCTGGGAGAACAATGCTCCCAGAGCAAGAGCGGAGAATGCAACCATTGTGAGGTGAAGATGAAACTCTGCACGTTCCTCACGCCAAGAGATGAAAATTTGTTGACCGATCGAGGATGAATTCGGGCATGATTGACCATTTTAAGTGCTGTCAATCCCCCCCTATTCGGGGTTTAGACTAATGCGTGGCTATGAAGTCGTGCCATTTCCCGGACGAGCTCTGGACGCGAGATTGTCTTGAGCTAACGGCCAGTTAGGGCCACTCAGGGTCACTTGGGGCCACTCAGGGCTTCGGAGAACGTCCCGCTCGGCTGATGCTCCACCGAACACGATGTCAAGCGGGACAGACTTGCCCAAGGCGTGAGTCCACTGCGAGGAACTGTGTCGATCTGTTGTCTCCCGCGGACCGCATTCGGATCGGCCCTTTGGGCCCTAGGGATCCATCGATTCGATTACCTCGAAAAAAATATGTATCACATCTGAAGCACCTATGCACGCCGCGGAGAATCTCACCGCCACCTCGTGCCCCCTTGTGCTTAGCGGCCTTGGCAAAAAAAGGTTCTTAAAGTGGGAGAATGATTCGACGGGAGGCAAGATGCAATCTGGAAACTCGTTCCGGTGCCCTAGTGGAATAGAAAATAGATGAACTGCATGGTAGTAGTGCCGCAGTCTTGAGATCCGAGGCCCAAGTGTCTCCCAGTGCGCCCAGTGCCGATGGGCCTGAGACACCTCATTGGTCTTGTTTCTACTGCCAACTCCACTGCTGTACAAAGTACATGGATGTTGTGGCAGAGAAATTTCTAGAGCGCCGAGGATACAGGGGTAAGGGCTTCTACCCAGACTGGCGGCTGTTCAAGTTCGGCAACAAGAAGTCGTGGCCCATTTCTGCTGTGGCTTTGGAGCAAAGCCCGAAACTAGATTGTCTCGGAACAACCCATTCATATTGCCTCGGTAGGAAAACGTAAACGGTGCTTAAACGAATGAATATGAAGGGGAAAGAAACGGAATGGCGGACAAATCCGAAGTCACTATTTGCCTGCCACGAAGCCACGCGAACCTTGAAGCGAAGGCGTTTCACTGGAAAGCCGAGAATCCTTCGAGTCTACCCTGGTCGACATAGTCTCCCAATTCTTCCCATGTCCCCTCGATAACACCTCTGCGACAGCCATGTCGGATACCTCATATTTGGGAGGCGCTGGCCTACCGGATGTCAATCAAGGATGGCGCATTCTCCTAGCGACGGGCATTACAACATTCGTGGCATTAATACTCGTGCTGGCGCGGTTCTACGTGCGCATTTTCATTATTCGCAATGTCGGATGGGACGACTATACGATGGCCTTGACTATGCTACTGTCCTTGTGCGGATTTGCGATCATTGTCCCAGAGGTAAAGTACGGTGCAGGTAGACATACGGTTTATGTGGAACATACCGCATCCAAAGCAATGCATTTAAACTTTGCAACACAGGGCATCTACCTCTGGGCCATTGGCTTGGTTAAAGTATCAATTGGATTGTTTTTGCTTCGTTTCGCGCCCCAGAAGGGATACAAGATCTTTATATGGGTGGTAATCGGTATGGCTGAGAAGATTCACATTTATCGTCCTCTTCTATACTTGTATGCTAACAAAATCGGTCTGCTTTACAGTCCTCATGACGCTATATACCGCGATTTGCTTCTTGGTCAGTCATCCCTCTCACAGCCTTACAGATGATGTGTTTGGACCGCCCTTATGCCGAGTCCACCTACCTTGGATACTTCCTGTTGTTGCTTTGATTTTGCCCAGTTCGATCCCAAGAAGAAGTGAAGTATTACCGCCGGCAGCATATGACAGGAGTCGAAGTGCTTCATCGGCCGTATACATCCTAGCAAGACCGAATCTAACGTTTGGCTCTATAGACCCTCGTATTTGAATGCAAGGACATCCGGACAAACTGGGACAAAAATGTGGTGTCGGAGTGCTTCTCTTCTAGACAACTTCTGATACTGAGCTATACCAACACTGGTGAGACGGCATCTGGCAGACCGGTTACATCCGCTAACTTTGATAGCGTTAAACATCCTAACTGATTTGATCTTCGCCTTGTTGCCAATATTTATGCTGCGTCATCTTCAAGTCAACCGCCGAGTCAAGGCTTCTCTGGTTTGTATCTTAGGTTTGGGAATTTTGTGAGTTCGGCTCATTCTAGTCCACCAAGTCTACCAAGCATAGTTACTAATTCTTTAATATCCAGTGCCTGCGCCGCCGCCTTCGTCAAGATCTCCATCTTACCCAACTACGGCCGCAACGGAGATTTCCTCTGGGATTATACGAACCTCACAATCTGGGTCGTGTACGTGATCCACATACCTCCTACTCCTATCATCTAATACTAACAAATTTCAGTACTGAATGCAACACTGGCATAATGGCAGGCAGTCTCCCAACTCTAAAACCACTCTTCAAACGGGTCCTCGGCACATACGGTTCCCGATCAAAAACAACACGCGAATACCACGGCAGCAAGCAGTACAAGCTACGATCGATGTCAAGATCCCGCGGCGAACAATTACACTCCCATGGCCATCTCACCGGCAACCTCAGTGTCATCGAACATGACGACGATATCAAAATCCCTAGATCGAACATTCCCTCCGGCAATACTTCATTGAGTCGCGAGGGTAGCAATTCTAGCAAGGAGCGGATTTTGGGAGATGGGATCGTTTGCACGACTGAGGTTATGGTTTCGCATTCGCAGAAGAATTCGCCAACACTGCCGCCCGCTCCGAGTCCAACTAGGTTAGGGAGAATGAAATCACTTAAGGGATTTCGGGTTGAGGCTGAGGATCGGGTTTGAATCACTTTGTTTGGAGTTATGTCTGAGTCCATGAGTCCTCTCGAACACAAATCTCCGAGCACCCATTCATGCAAATTTCTCATTAAACATACATTACTTAATACATATAGGTATCCTCATAAATTTGGCTTCTCTAGGGCGTATTTCACTTGAAACCCTCCGCGAGCCCGCCCTTCCATACATTCTGTATTCGGAGGGGAGGCGATCTTGATCTTGTATTCATTCGCCTCAAGAAGTTGAAGTACTGACAAGGCTTGCCTCTAGCCATGCTTTCTTCTCAGGGTCGCAGCCTTGAACGTAGCAATGGACTGTACCACTAGCCTTCAGACAAGTGGTAGTGCTGATTTGTTGCAGTAGCCTGATTATGTGTCTAATCTCCAGTGGTTGCCCACAAGACATATCAAAGACCATTTCTTTGATGTGATGATCTCTGGGAATACTTCGACAAGCACTTCTCCAGCCTTCGACCAAAACTGACAGATTCGGCCCATCGATACCACCGTTCTCTTCCAGGGGAGTCAGTTGGGCGGTTGAGACAGTATGCAAAATATCGAGGCGCAATTTTCGCACTCCGTTGGATATATTCAGAAAGGGTGATGTGGTGTCCTTGAAGAAGTGCCCCAGAACGGTTGGTTCCTGGAAGATGAAAATATTTGATGAGAGGGGTTCCTGGATCTGGTCCAGTGGCATCGCGACAGTGTTCGTGGCAATGGAATCGAGGTGGCGGCAAAAGATGATCCCTGCATCACTCATCGAAACGAGTATTTCGCTAGCCATGCTGTCTTGCCGAGGGAATCTCGAAATATGAAACAGAAGAAGAGTGTAGCGCTCACATACACAGTAGAAGATGGTGGAATAGGTAGGTTGACCAAGGATGGGAAGAGAGACGTGCTGCAAGAACAGGCAGCAGCGGGAAGCTTATATTGAGATTACCAAGAATAAATCCGCGAGCCACATATATAATTACTCACCAGTCTTTACCAGTCACTAATCATATTCGATTGAATCAAGACAAATCCAACACGTGAGTCACACGTCGGGCCGGAAACTCCTGGTTAGTGCAGACCACTAACTGGAGTAAGTTACAAAAGACAAATACATTCAAATCTCCGAATCATGAGACTACATTTAACCTAGTAAAGATTAGATCTAATCGATGGGAAGTATCGGCTTTAACAAGCTACAACGACCTAGTGCTTGACGGCAATGCTAGTTCTCCCTGGTTCAAGTAAATTTCGATTGCTTTTGCTTACCTTCACTGCTCATTAATGCGTGGACGCTAAGAGATACAAGTCTACCTCTGGCATGGCAATGGTATTGAGCACATCGAGATAAGGCACCGTCGCAATTTCGATATTGACCCCCAGACTAGTGGACGTATACTGTGTACTGCCTGCGGTCTGGATCGGGACAGTACTAGCGATTGGGGTTACACTTGCTAGTTATTAGTGTGATCCCTCTCTGTGGCGGTGCTCACCTTATGGAATAAGTGTCACTTGCGTATGGTGGGATTCTGCGTAGCATTGGCCGACAGGATGTTGCGAGCTACATCCAGGGTGGCACTTTCCTGTGGCCTCGCCATTGACTGGATTGGGCTCGCTTTTGGCCTAAGCTGGCATCTCTGGGGTCTCTGGAGCGGGGGGTCTGTAGACTTTTGCTCTGAGGATGCAATTGAGGGCGCTTTAGTGCAACGCATTGATTGGCAGTGCTATGTAGAGGAAGCGAAGTCAAGGAATAAGGGGCTATAGTGCTGCATCAAAATCTCAAAACCAGGAATTGCCTTCGGCATTTTCTCACTATGGCCTTTTAGCAATGCTTAACACTTAGCTCGACAAGCTTCTTATTCGGAGGCCAGAAAATCTCATGTTACTTGCATCGAAACAAACACAATCCCGAGATTATAAATTATCAAGGAAAACAAACAAGACAGACGTCCTTCAACCTCACATGCACGCGCAGTTAGGCACAACCGCACCTCTCCCAGCAACGCCCTTCTCCCCAAACTTCTCAACATACCATTTCCTTCCCCAGCGCGCATGAGGAAGCATATTCGTAACAGCATTAACAACAAAGATAATAGCAGGAAGAGGTAATGGCAGGGAAAACTTATCAGCCGCCCAAGTAGCCGGAATCAACCAAGGCGCGAGACGAAGTGGCGGAGCAACCGCAGCCGAAGGCGCATGATCAGGGACAGTCGACAAACTAAGAACTGCTGTACCAGCTAAAGCAAAACCGACCCATTCAAGCCACTCGAATGCATAGTGCGGGTACAAGATATACCGGAAGACACCGCGGCAAGGCGGGATGACGTAGACTTTATGGAATTTGTTGCGGCTGCTTCCACCATCATTTTCCCCTGCAGTAGTGCCAGTCTTGGCGTCATCCGACTTCTTCGCGAGACGTTTCTCTGTTTCTTCGCGGCGGAAGCGGAAAAGCGCTGTCTCGGAGTAAATATTTCCTGCCATCCCGATGGCGAACAGGATCACGCCCACTGTCGGGATATAGTTCACAATGGCAGGGCGGGACTGGCCGTTTCTTCCGTCTGCGCTGAAGCTCGGAGTGGTTAGGATTGTGTATCCGCGTAACCAGCCGGCTAGACAGCTTGAGTTGAACCAGTTGAAAAGCATAGCGGAGGTCATGACGAACGGGTGGATTGGGGACATGCTGGGGGCAGAGAAGAAGGGGGATATAATTGAGCGGTTGAAGTAGTGGGTACAATATAGTCCTGCCACGAGGACATTAGGCCAGGGGAGATCACCAATCGAGGGTGAGGAGGGTGATGGGAGCATCAGATTGTAGATCAGGTTTATAGGCCCGATGATCTCCATGGCGCACCAGGCTATACGCCCTGGGATATTGAAAATTGAATTGTTGGACGTCTTGCCCGCTGGATGCCAGGAAAGAAGCCATTGGAATACAGTCACCTAAAACGATGGTATTAGCTCGTGGAACCATCTTTGGGGGTATAGGGGTCCTCACCAGGGGGAAGTATTGGAAGATGTTGAGGATACTTGTGTACACCGCTGGTGTTGGAGGATAGAGTTCTGCGCTGGTAGGCAGAGCTGCCCAGCAGGCGGAAATTGTCGCACCCATTGAAAATTTGTATGAAGGTTGAAGTTGAAGTAAACAAAAAGAGCTGGTGATGTAATGCGCCGAAAGGCGGTCAGGCCGACAAGGGATATCGTGGTATATTGACAGCTTCATCTTCCTCACATCTTTCAGTCTGCCTACGCGGTTTAATAACCCCTCGCAAAGAATGGCAACAGCCGGTCAAATTAACACCCTCAAGAGATCTACCTGGCTGAGACAGTGGGTCAATTTGGGAGTACAAATCCCGAGAGCTCGAGAAGATGGAATCGACGATCCAAGTCGAACAAAGGTAGAAAAGCCATCCATATATGCATAAAAATGCTCTCTATTGACTTTCTGACTATTCTGCTTGGCTACAACGAACATTAAAATATGGTGAACTGTTTGAGCATAGTAAACGATTCATTGGCGTCATGGCCCTAGAGGCACAAGGTAAGTAGAGAGCTCTTGTTCTATCGTCAATGTTTCAGCATTCTATGCTAGGGGCGCTAATAGAAATGCGGCAAAATAGCCATGGATTAAGCAATGCAAAGGTACACCCATACACCGCATTAACCCGTAGATGTGTCCATATGTTCACGAGGCACCATCTCCTTCAGTTTGCCAGCCAATTTCTCCGATTTGAAGGCTTCGATCTTGGCCTTCAAGTCGGTATCTGCGAGAAACATTGTTAGAGTGGACAAGAAACATTGATGTATGATTCTTACCAGGCACCACATCTTCCATCTTCAGGGGGACACGGTTGAAGGGATCATGTGGATCACTAAGGAGATGCGAGCGGATAGTAGCTCGGTCGATGGAGACACGTGAGCCAGGGAGAATGACAGGGTCGTCCATGAGAGTGTACATCAGGGGATCTAAAAAATGTTAGCAATTCCCTGAAAATAAGGCCATAGCAGGGAACCATACCAAGGAATTCATCAGGGATCTCTCCAAGATCCTCCTCTGCTTGCTCATCGGCCAACCTAGCTTCCTGTACCTTCTTCTGCATTTGGCCCCAGCGACGAAGCTCCTCAGGAGACTTCAAAGACCATTTGCGAATGATATCAGCCGCCTTCTCAAAGTTGGCGGGCTTGTAGGATCGGCCATCGCGAGCAACGGCCAGGATGAAGTTCTCTTTACCCATCAGGTTCAAATAGACGTCGACGATCTCGCTCAGAAGGGCACGCGGGTTGAAGCCATATTCTTGCAAGTTGTCCACGCGAAGAGTGGCGCTCTTGGGACCCACCATGGCATCAAGGTTGTAATCAAGCATGTCTGCCAAGCGCTGCACGATTTCGGGCATTGTGAATGAATCCGCCAGCGCCTCGGTGAATAGCTTCAGCATAGCAACGGTTTCGTTGGTGAGCTGCATGTAGTTCTTGGCACTGCGCTGGGATTGGGACAGATGCTCTTCTCGCTGCTGGCGGGTGGCAGCATCCATCGAGGCACCAGCGGTATTGAGCTCGTACTGGGTGCTAGTAATGGTCTTGAAGGCACCAAATGATTCATCAAGAACGTAGGTCACATCGTTCAGTAAAAGGTTGACGAACCTGACGAAGAAGTCCAGGTTCTGGTTGGCTTGATTGGACAACTTCTCTCTGTAGAGTGTGTTGGGCCAGATGCACTTGATGATCTGGAAGATCTCATATCTGATGTTGAACTTATCGTAGAACTGTGTATGCGCTCCCGTGAACTCTGCCTCAATGTAGAATTTCATAACTGCATGGAGGAGATAATCGTTGGCAAATGGAAGCGAGTTGAGCAGGTCAACCAAAACGCCGCTGGCGCCACCAGGGCGTTTCCAAGTGCCTCGGAACAGAATCGAGACAAGTCCGGCTTTGAGGTAAGGATTCTTGATGTAGGCGGAGCTCTCCAGGAAGGTAATGCACAGCATCACCAGCTCATCGCCCTGGGTGGCAGTGATGATTTGTGGCATGCACCACATGATGAATTTGAAGTTGCTGACAATGTCTTCCACGAAATACTCCGGTAGGCACTTGAATACCTCGGGCTGTTTCTCTGGGAGTGGGAGCGAGAACTGTTTTTTCGGGAAGTCCTCGCCTGATACGAGTCTCAAAAGCCATACGGTGACATATCGCATGAAAAGCATGGAGCGGCTCTGCCAATGATCATCAAACAGTACACCCTGAAGGCTGTACTTCAAAGCCAGCCCCAAATCGAACTTGTCTTTGTACTTATTGAGGGCATTGTCGAAAGTGGTAAGCTGTGCCGGGTTGTTGATCCATTTGTGGCGCTCCAGTTCAAACTTGGTGATCATGTTTTCCATCTGTCGTAGATCCTTTTCAAGTTGTTCCATCTTCGAGGTCAACGACTCGCTGCCGTAGTGGTGAGCAGCAACAGTCAAGAAGAAGATTTCGGTGATGAAGTTTGAAGTCCCGTCAACCTTCTTGGAATAAAATGCATCGGATGCATGCTGATCGGCATTGATCTTAGTCTCGTCACGCATGTCAACCCGAGAGTTTCGATGGAGGTAATCCGAGTCAATTCTGTCGATCTTGGTGAACGATGCATCCATGAAAGGCTCACAGAGCTGGTCTAGACAAGTTGTGAGGTTGAACATGAATCCATCCGAGGATACTTGTTCGGGGTCCACCTGCATTGCGCGCCGTTTGTGGTTGATGTTAAGAGCAGTAGCAAACCAATCCAAAACGCGATCCCGAGCCTCCTTCGAAGCCCGAATCAGA